TTATATCCTAAATATTGATGCAGGAGCTCAAACAACTAGCGGATGAACTGCGTTCTGATGTTATTTTTAGTGTTTCTAGAACTGGGGGTCATCTGGGCTCAAACCTTGGTGTCGTAGAACTCGCTGTTGCCCTTCACTATGTCTTCAATGCCCCTCAGGACAAGATACTGTGGGATGTTGGTCACCAGGTTGGTTATCAGCTTCTTTGGTTCTTTAGTTACTTTTCTTGGGGATGATATATACTTGTTCTCAATTAGACAATCGTGTATGAATTTGCAGTCTTACCCACATAAGATACTCACTGGTAGAAGGGATAAGATGCATACCATGAGGCAGACCAATGGATTATCCGGGTATACAAGACGCTCTGAGAGTGAATATGATTGTTTTGGCACTGGTCACAGCTCAACAACAATTTCGGCAGGACTTGGTAATTCTTCTCTATGCTGTCTGAGTTTCAAGACAGAAATTTTCAGGCCATAGTTTTGATAAAGAATTGGTTAAATAAAGTATTACGTGAGTAGTAAAATTGGAAAATGGTATGAATTATTCCTTCCAGTAGTAAAATTGGCTTTAAATTTTGATATTTTATTGAACCAACAGGAATGGCTGTTGGGAGAGATCTGAAGGGAAGAAAGAATAACGTGGTTGCTGTTATTGGTGATGGTGCCATGACGGCAGGGCAAGCTTATGAAGCCATGAACAATGCTGGATATCTTGATTCTGACATGATTGTTATTCTAAATGACAACAAACAAGTCTCTCTACCAACTGCTACTCTTGATGGACCCATACCACCTGTAGGAGCTTTGAGTAGTGCACTCAGTAGATTACAATCAAACAGGCCTCTTAGAGAATTGAGAGAGGTTGCCAAGGTGAGTAATACAGTTCATCAGTTTATCAATGAGGGAGTACTTTTGTAGCCCACAAAGTATTATTGAAACTGATTCTTGACAAAATGAGATTTCTTTTAGGGAGTAACTAAACGAATTGGAGGCCCTATGCATGAATTGGCTGCAAAAGTTGATGAGTATGCTCGTGGCATGATCAGTGGTTCTGGATCAACACTTTTTGAAGAGCTTGGACTCTACTATATTGGTCCTGTTGATGGTCATAACATAGATGATCTTGTTGCCATTCTAAAAGAAGTTAAAAGTACTAAAACAACCGGTCCTGTACTGATCCATGTTGTCACTGAAAAAGGCCGTGGATACCCATATGCAGAAGAAGCAGCAGACAAGTACCATGGTAAAGGAAGCATTGCAAATCTCACCAGTTTCATAAACATAATTCATAAAATAAATATATCACATTTTGGTAATTCAACCTTAGATGAGTTATTCCGGATATTCAATCTGGAGCTGTCTCTTTGGACAATTCCCATCGGATATTTGACTTGGTTTGTTTTTGCAGGAGTTACTGAGTTTGATCCAACAACTGGAAAGCAATTCAAAGCCAAGGCTACCACCCAGTCTTACTCAATATGCTTTGCAGAGGCTTTGATTGCAGAAGCCCAAGCTGACAAAGACATAGTCGCAATCCATGCTGCAATGGGAGGAGGAACTGGCATGAATCTCTTCCTTCGCCGTTTCCCAACAAGATGCTTTGATGTGGGGATAGCAGAACAGCATGCTGTTACATTTGCTGCAGGTCTAGCTTGTGAAGGTCTTAAGCCTTTCTGTGCAATTTACTCTTCATTCATGCAGAGGGCATATGACCAGGTTGGGTAACAACTTCTCTCTCCACATTATTGTCATTGTTATAAAAAAAATTCTGCTCTACAATCAACAGTATATATAACGTTAACTTTGAAATCAGTGCTCAGACTATGTGTTCCTTATGTCCTTTCCACAGGTGGTGCATGATGTTGATTTACAGAAGCTGCCTTTAAGATTTGCAATGGACAGAGCTGGATTAGTTGGAGCGGATGGTCCCACGCATTGCGGTTCTTTTGATGTCACTTTTATGGCATGCCTCCCTAACATGGTGGTGATGGCTCCTTCTGATGAAGCAGAGCTTATCCACATGGTTGCCACTGCAGCAGCCATTGATGATCGACCCAGTTGTTTCCGATATCCAAGGGGAAATGGTATTGGTGTTGAACTACCAACTGGGAATAAAGGCATTCCACTTGAGGTAGTGTTAGAATTATATCCCCATACATGTCCTCATGGAGATTATCAGGAATAATTTTGCATTTGCAAATTGACTTGATGTTTGGGTTCTGATTTTTTAACAGATTGGCAAAGGTAGGATATTGATTGAAGGGGAAAGAGTGGCCCTCTTGGGCTATGGAACAGCTGTTCAGAACTGTTTGGCTGCGGCTTCCTTAGTGGAATGTCATGGTTTGCGGTTAACAGTCGCCGATGCACGTTTCTGCAAGCCACTGGATCGTTCCCTGATTCGCAGCCTAGCAAAATCACATGAGGTTTTGATCACAGTAGAAGAAGGATCAATTGGAGGATTTGGTTCTCATGTTGCTCAATTCATGGCCCTTGATGGCCTTCTAGATGGCAAATTGAAGGTAAGAACCCGAACAAGCATTTTTAATTTGAAGTTTGAACTACAATACTTGCATTTCTTTAACATGGGAGTGAGTATATAAAGTTTTTGTGGACATTTTACTAGTTGACTAAAACTCATCGCTTTGCATTGTGTAGTGGAGGCCAATGGTTCTTCCTGATCGTTATATTGATCATGGTTCGCCTGCTGATCAATTTTCTTGGGCTGGTCTTACACCATCTCACATAGCAGCAACAGTGTTCAACATACTTGGACAAACAAGAGAGGCATTAGAGGTCATGTCATAAAAGAAATCCGAGGGGTTTCAATTTTTCTCTTCCCGCAATGTACAAAGTAAAGCAATATGATTCACCTTGTGTAATACAGATAAGTAATGTTAGAATGTTAATTATGTTAGTGGTAAACGCAGGTTGTCAAATAGCAATACCAACTAGTTGTAAAGGAGAGAGATTCTTAATTTTTGTATGGGTGCAAAAGAAAAGACTTTTTCTGTTATCTAAACTGAAATTTAAAGTCTATCGCCTAAAGGCTATCCCAAAGATGAATAAAGCAAATATTGCTAATTTCCTAAAGGAAGTTGGTTCGTGAGAGGGTCAACAGTCAAAGTGAATATATACATTACTCTGAGCCTCACAAACACTTAAAGTCGGCTATGATATTTTTTGTATCTGTCTTCGTCGGTAGAAATGTCCCTCCCTACCAGAGTCAAAGCTAGGCCTAAACATGCACATAAAAATCTAGTGAAAAAACTGCAAAATCTCAAACTATTGACATTGCAGAAGTTTCACATTTCTTCACCTATGATCTTTAAATTGAAAAGAACTCACTCTCTCCTTCCAAGAACGAGGGTGATGTATATAATACGAGGAAGGACCTATCAATCTTTGAAGCATATTTGTCTTGCTCTCTCTCTCGCCCTTATTTTTTCTGTTCTGGAAATTAGACTATTTCTATAACTCTAACCTGATCATTTTAGAAACACCAATTTTATTGGCATGTCTAATTCATTGCTAAACAGTATTATGTACACATGAATTTAGTGGAGTATTTAAGGACAATTCTACAAATTTTAGAGCTCCCATAAGTTGCAATTAACAAATTTCAAACAGGACCAAAACAAATCATAAAATTAGCAACTACCTCTCCTTTGTCCAATTTTTATTTCAGTCATTATGTGTGGAGTTACAAGTAATACTTCAATGAATAAGTTTCTATACAGCCATTCTACCTATATAATATGTCACTGTTTATCCATCTAATTCCTTTACATTTTCTTCTTTCTTTGTAGTTGATAACTAAAACTATATACATTTTCCAAGGCGCACTATGAATGTGTGGTAGCGCTTATTGTTCAGTTTGGTGCTAATCTACTGCGCCATTTCAGGTTTAGTAGGAGGCACACGGCTGTAAGTGTGCATACGTAAATTAAGCATATAAAGGGGACAAGCCATAAGATGCATTACACATGTCCCAATCTTTCAATGCCGACAAACAGAAGAAAAAACATAACGTACATATCCATAAATAAACAAAGGGAAATACTACTCTCATTTTACATGAAGTAGTTATCTCATTTTCTCTCACTTCGAAAATCGTGCCCCTTCTTTTTTCTTTTTCTTTTTTGCTTTTAAAAAGTGGGCCCTACTTGGATTCTCTCTGTAACATGAGAGAACTACTCTCATGTTACATGAGAGTAATATTACCCATAAACAAATCAAGATGTCAACCTCAACTATTCTAAATGAAATTGTAGTGGGAAATGCTTCAGTTGTTTCATTAGGTGGGGTTCTTACAATCTAAATGGAGAACCAGGAAACGTCGACAATGAGCCTTTGTACCTACCATTTACCAAAACATGACCATCCACCATGAACGTTCTCTGCATTTGGTTAATTGAAAACTCAGATAAATAGTAACCCAATTTCCACTCTACCAACTAATATATAGACAGATAAAGTATATATATTATTACACAGGGTCTCTTGTTTCTGCTGTTGTTGTTGAGGAGAAAAGTTGCAGCAAACTATTAATACTAGGATACGGAGTCATATCTTGGCCTAAAAAAAAAAAAAACACATCAAGATACGGGTCCGGATCCTGATGAAAATAAGTGTTGCTGCACATTTTCTCATCTGCAGTGACCGGAGAGCTATTAACGCCTATTATATATACTAACAAAAAGACAGGATAGAAACTACCGAAAAGAATATCTGTCCCAATCCAAATATAAAAATTTAAATCAAATCAATTTCTTATCATCATAGCAAACAAAAAACCTTGAAAGAAATTCATTTATTATACGGTGATGAGAACCCAAATGCATGTAATGGGTTATTTAATTATTTTATGGTGCTGTAACGAATCCCATAATAAGATTTATTATATGGCTCTTAATGAAGTATCGAATAGGATGATTTTACAAATACAATATCAAAGAATAACAAATAAAAAAACTCTCCAACATAACTAGTTGTTCTCTACATTAGTGCACATGCATTTGGGTTCTCATCACTGAACATCATCAAGGCTTCAGTGCTTATGCAACAATCATTTTGAAGCACAAAAGGGTGCATTAGAACAAGTTTATCCGATTCATTAGATTCGTCGTTGGACTCCTCATCCTTGTTAGACACAATCTCCACTCTCTTCCCTGTCTTCTTCTTTAGTTTCTTCAAGACTCTTTTCGGATCGATCCTACCCGTTACCACCACCTGGTGCTTGTTCATATCTGTAATGAACTTTTCCACTCCTAACAAAACAGAGTTCCACAATTATTATATAATTACAGGGTAAAAAGAAAAAAAGGACAAATTTTCAAGAGAGAGAAGATGAAGTGCCTTTACACTTGGATATGGTTTTGGCGACGGTTCTCTCACAAGCGTTGCAGTGCATCGAAACCTTAAATTCCACAACTATTACTTTGTTTTGCTCAACTTTTTTGTCCTTGCCCATTGAATTGAAACATTGATGGATGAACGTGACGCTGCCATGCAAAGCGAAAATGAAAAGGATTTCAGAAATTATTATGAAGTGTTATTTTGGTTGATTGTGTCCGAACAGTTAGTTATGGCGGTTAATGCTATATTATTTTCACCGTTTCGGATTGAGTTTTCTTTTTCATCTTTTTATTTTTAGTAATTTTTTTGGAGAAGTTATACTTACCATAAATTAAATTTATCACCTCTTACTACCTCTTTTCTCTTCTGTAACCGTCCCATTAAATTAGATCAACTATTATCATTTTTATAACCACTAACTAAGGGTAGTAAAAAGGTACTAACATAAAGTGATAAACTTAGTTGGTAGTAAGTATAACTTTTTTCTATTATTATTAAGTTTTCAGTAAAATATGATTTAACTTTGGAAAAAATGTTTGTCCTTTATAGGATGATCATCTTAATTAAAACTAGTGTTTTTCATTTAAAATTTAAATTAAAAAAAATTATCCACTTTCTCGTCCATAATTTTCATTGTGTATCTCTTCCTTTCACTTAAAATGATGATACAATTTTATGTTCTTTAAAATGACAAATACCAAACCCATTTTGGAAAAAATATTTGTCCTTTAATTAAAGGACATAGAGTTGTGTCATTTTTTTGGATACAAGAGTTTTGTCATTTTAATTGAGAAAAAGACACAAACTAATATTTTTTTATTTAAAATATAAATTAAAAAATACTCACTTTCTCCCCCATGATTTTCATTGTTTGTGACACAACTCTATATCCTTTAAAATAAAAAACATCAAACTCATTCTATTTAGTTAGATGCAATTATCTTTAAAGAGAGTAGGGTGTTCTTGAAATTTTTAAAAATTATAAACTAATTAAAATGAAAAATTAAAATAAATGAAAATTCTAAATAAAAATTTCATTTTATTGAGTGAATTGAATTTTCTAATTGGATTCCTAAAACTCAATGGTGACTCAACTCTTTTAAATTAAGACTTTGTTTAGATACCAAAGATAGTGGACGGAAATGGAATATAATAAAATCATTATATTAATATTTAATAGGAGTGGTTATACTTACTATATCTTATTACTAAATCTTAACCGTTGATTTTCGTCAATCCAACGGTTGTAATTTATTGGATCATACTTATTAATTAATTATTAATTTTCAATAAATTATAACCGTTAGATTGATGAAAATTAACAATTAAGATTTGGTAGTAAGAGATAGTAAGAAAAAGAGGTAGTAAGAGATAGTAAGAAAAAGAGGTAGTAAGTATAACCTCCCCATATTAAAATATTTTATTTATAAAATAAAAAAAAGTTATTCCAATATTTATGAAGTAAACAGAATGGAAAAGAGATTAGTTCTGCCTCATATACGTCAAATTAATGGAAAGAAAACAGAAATACACATGAAATAGATTATCACAAATTTAATCTCCACCACCCTGTATTTTAACAAAAATAAAAAATAAGATGGTATTATCACAAGATAAACCAAAAAATAAAAAATAAAATGAACTCATACATTATTTATCCTTTAAACATGGTATTAGAGCATTTGATCAAATGATTACAGATTTAATTCCCACCGCCCTGTATTTTAATAAAAATAAAAAATAAGATAATATTAACACAAGATAAACCAAAAATAAAATAAAATGAGCTCATACATTATATATAAAATTATTAATTTACCGTCATCTAATAATTTAAACTTTTGTGTTAAATTAATTTTTCACACATTAATATTTTATTTTCAACAATTTTTTTTAAACAATTCAAACAATAACAATATCAATGTTATTCTATTTTATTCCTTTCCTTTAATCCAAACATTCCTTAGGGTCGCCTTCTTTATAGAATAAATAAAACAAAGCTAATGGTCTGTTTGAACTTTGAAGTTTAGTTCAACTAGACAATTAACTAAGAAGGGGTGCAAAGATTAAAAGTAGGATGGACACGTGCCCACACGTTACCACTGACTTCTATGTTTTATCTTGCGATTATAAAATTTGAGAAAAGCAACCCTATACATATACTTTTTATGCTCTTTTCCTGTTCCTAAGAAAACAAAGGCAAAAATATGTATGAAAATGTTAAGATTAAAAGCAAAAATAAAAAGAAGCATGTTGTACTTCAACCTTTTGCCATGGTCGAGGTATGTTGGAATCTAAATCTCCTTCCCTATCAAGAAAATGCTTATCTTGCATAGAAGGAATGGAAGGTAAAGCAAGTTAACGTAATCTATATTGGACAGGAATATAACTAAAAATCTATTATTTATCATTCATAGCATCATGCTTTCCACTTCTCACTTGCATGTTCGTTCTACATTCTGATCTTGCTTTTGGGTCCATTTGTTTCTTACGAGATTTAATTGCTAAATAATTTCATTGCTTCCTCCTTCAGCTTACTCTTACATTCAACGTGATTTTATGAATATGGAAAACCATATAATAATATGCAAATTTTGTAAAAAGTCATTTCAACCCAAGATCTTAAGCTGACGAGGCTACGTTAGTTTTATATTTCTTTAACATGCCATTTCACACGAGATTGGACTTAATGGGTGGATGATGTATCAAATCCAAATCTATCTAAGTGTATTAAGCAACTTCACAAATATTATATAAAAAATCAATTCAACCAAAAGAAACTTAAGTTGTTAAGTAACTTTACATTAATGGTTTTTAATTTCTCTAACATACTTTGCTAGAAGTAATAGAGAAAGAAAATATATATTTAAGCTCTATTGTATATACATATATGGACGTAAACCAGCTTGTTAGATTTATCGATAGTTACATCGATCTTGAGGGAAATAGCTAGCTAGCTCTTGAAATGGAGGAGGTTGGGGTTGAAAGTTTGTTTAATTATGCCATGAAAGGCCAGTGGAGAGAAGTGTTAGAGGCCTACGAGAACAACCCTCGAGCATTGGAGGCTAAGATCACAAAAGCAGAAGACACTGTCTTACACATTGCTGTCTATGTGGGCCAAACCAACTTTTTGACAACCCTTCTTGAGAACATCACTGAAGATGTGTCTCTTGCGATTCTAAATATGCCAAACTCAAAGGGTTACACTCCTCTACATGTAGCAGCAGAGCTTGGGAATGTGGACATTTGCAATACTATAGCCAAAAGAGATCCCAAACTCATTTTGTGTCTCAATTTTGAAGGTGAGACCCCTCTCTTTTTGGCAGCTATTCATGGTAAGAAAGATGCATTTTTTTGCCTCCATGGTCACCTACAAAACAAAGATGACTACTTGCCTTGTAGAAAGAGAAACGGGGACACAATTCTTCATTCTACCCTCTCTAATGAATACTTTGGTTAGTGCCATTGTCAATTTATTTTCAGGAACATACTATAATTGTTTCCACTTTTATATATAATATTGAAGTTTGATGAGTTTGATAGGTTTGGCACTTCAAATAATTCGCTTGTACCCAAACCTTACGGATTCTGTCAATGAGGATGGCTTATCAGCTCTTCATATTCTTGCTATGAAGCCTAATTGTTTTAAAAGCAGCACATGGATGGTGTTTTTGGATCGGATCATCTATAATTGTAAGAATTATTTCCAATTAGTTTTCCTATATACTTTGGGTAATGTTTTCCTCCTTTCACATGACACAACCAATTTTTCTACAAATACATAAAAGTGGACCCATCAATTCTTTTACTTTTCTTTTATTTTAAAAATAACGACCCCCACAATTGATTGTCTCTATGACATGATCTAAGAATTTTCCTACAACATAATACTTGTTTTTCCCATATATACTTTTATGTACTGATCATTCCCAAAATATATATACCTTTGGATAATGCTTGTAATAACCCTTCGAAGAGGCAAAAGGAAAAAAATACATGTGTAGGTTATCGGTTTGTATGTAAAAAGTTTTTGATGTGAAACTTCATATACAGATGCAAGAATAAATTACTATGTTCATAAAATTACATTTCATATATCTTTTTATGTAGGCCCCATTACTATGAAGTCAATTTACATATACCTTCACTAGATCCCATCTACTTTCTCTATCTTATAATTTAAAAAATCCACTTTGTAGTTTGTAGTATAGAACTTGAAAGAAAAGGGTATTTGAAATATTATTGAATTGTGTATAATCTGTACAAAGGGTTCTCTATTTATAGAGAATACTTGACCTAATTTTGACCTAATGGGCTTGGCCCAATACAACAAATAAATGACTAAATAATAACTAAATAATAATTATTTACAACACTCCCCCTCAAGCTGAGGAATAGATATTTATCATTCCCAACTTGCTAGTAAGTTCTTGAAATCTGTCTGAAGGAAGCCCCTTTGTTAATAGATCAGCTAATTGACGCCCAGTGGGAATGTATGGAGTGGTAATCAACCCGCTATTAAGTTTCTCTTTGATGAAATGGCGGTCGACCTCAATATGTTTAGTCCGATCATGTTGAACTGGATTATGAGCTATACAAATAGCGGACTTATTATCACATAGCAGCTTCATAGGTCCCTCACATTTTATTTTGAGATCATCAAGTACAATTTTCAGCCACAGTAACTCACAAATGCCTTGAGCCATAACTCGAAATTCAGCTTACTATAGGCCCATTACTATGAAGTCAATTTACATATACCTTCACTAGATCCCATCTACTTTCTCTATCTTATAATTTAAAAAATCCACTTTGTAGTTTGTAGTATAGATAACAATTTTCACCACACCTACATGCCATTGCTCATCGTGAAAACTAATGTCATGAAAGTTGAGTTTCATTATAGATATATATCTGAGAAACGGTTGTGGCAGGTGTAGAAAATTAGAATTCAAACATGTTTCCGTTTTTATTTCCTATTAATTAGGATTGATTATGATTGATTAGGATTGATTATGATTGATTAGGATTAATTGTGATTGATTAGAATTGATTGTGATTAGGATTGTGATAGGATTGATTAGTCATCGCTTAGTCATTCTTAGCGATTCTTTCTTGTATAAATACTCACTCATGTAATTTATTCAATATCAATATACAAAAACTTCTTTTCAATATGGTATCAGAGCGGGTTCGTTCCTACCCTAATTCAAATCTGAAATAACCATCCAAACACTTCCATCACCGTCAAACACCTCCTAAACACCGCCTTGAATCTGTCCAACACAGAAACCTAGTTTACTGACCTCCGATCAAAAAAGTGAGGTGACCATTCGACTCAGAAGGATCCGACGAGTCGACCGCCGCTGGACCCATCGCCGTCAGCTGCTGCACGCGCCACCACGCGCCGCCTTCCAGACGTTTTTTTTCCCGTCGCGACTTGCACAGACCTTCTCGCCGGCTTCTCCCCTTCCTGTTCCAGAGGTCAGATCAAAAGTTTACAAAACTTGATTTTTCATCAACGGTCAACCCTTCTCTTTTTATTCATGGCTTCCTCACAACACTCTTTTTATTACCACGAGCAACCTCCTAAGGCCACTAGTCATGTGGTCCAGCAAGGTACAACTTTCCATGTTGATAGTCAAAATCATTGGATCCTTGATTCTGGAGCCTCTGATCATATGACAGGTAATCTTGGCTTGTTTTGTTCATACACTCCATATTCTGAACCTTCTCGGGTCAAGATCGCCGATGGCAGTTTTTCCCAGATTGCGGGACACGGAACCATTAAACTTTCTGAGCTGATTACTTTGACATCAGTTCTTTATGTTCCTTCTCTGACTTGTAATCTCATTTCCATTAGCAAGCTCACCTCTAAGTTGCATTGCTTTGCTAAATTCTTTCCACATGGTTGTGTTTTTCAGGAACAGGACTCGGAGAGGATGATTGGCAGTGCTAGAGAGGATGGTGGACTTTACTACTTTGAGGAGGATGTGACTCATGAAGCTGTTTTCGTAGAAAAAAACTCTATGTTTCCTTTTGATTCATGTAATGATGTTATGCTGTGGCATCGTAGGCTAGGCCATCCAAATTTTATTTATCTTCAGAAGTTGTTGCCAAACTTATTTATTAATAAAAGTCCAAGTTTGTTTTCTTGTGATATTTGTCAACTTGCCAAGCATACTCGTGCTCATTATCCTTCTAAAGTTCACCATGACTCTTCCCCATTTTCCTTAATTCATAGCGACATATGGGGTCCAGCCCGTGTTAAAAATATTTCAGGTACTCGATGGTTCATTACCTTCATTGATGACCATTCTCGAGTTTGTTGGGTGTATCTTCTAAAGGATAAGTCCGATGCTGCATCCGTGTTTAAAAAATTTCATGCCATGGTTCAAACCCAATTCCAAGTTGCTATACAAATTCTTCGTACAGATAATGGCAAAGAGTATTTTAACTCTATTCTTGGAGAATATCTTTCCCAACATGGCATCCTTCACCAAAGCTCGTGTCCTGACACACCCCAACAAAACGGAGTTGCGGAAAGAAAAAACCGACATCTCCTTGAAGTTGCTCGGGCTCTTATGTTTACCACGAGTGTTCCTAAATATCTTTGGGGAGAGGCAGTTCTCACTGCCTCGTATCTGATAAATCGAATGCCATCTCGCATTCTGAAATTTCAGTCTCCTCTTTCTAGTCTTGTTCGTATCTTCCCTTCCTTCCGAGGTGTCTCCTCCTTACCTCTCAAGTTATTTGGTTGTGTTGTATTTGTCCATATTCCCTCCCATCAACGGTCTAAGCTTGATCCTAAGTCTCTCCAGTGTGTCTTTATTGGTTATTCTCCTACTCAACGTGGCTATAAGTGTTATTCACCCTCTCTTCGTAAGGTCTTTGTCTCTATGGATGTCACTTTTTCTGAGAATGACCCTTTCTTCCCCTCGACTTCTCTTCAGGGGGAGTCTATAGGAGTAGATGAAGATCAGTCATGGGAACCTATTAATGCCACAGTATTACCTCTACTTTTGGAAACAGGGGGAGCTACAGAATCCTCACCATCAGGAGCCTCCTCAACATGGGGACAAGTTTATAGCAGGCGAAAGCCTCCTCAAAGTGTGAATAACCCAGAGCCTCTACACTGCCAGGATTCTGAACCATGTTCTAGTTCCAGCACCCCAATACTTGAGTGTCATGGTGAAAATGATCTACACTTGCTCATTGCTCTCAGAAAAGGTACTCGATCTTGTACTACTCATCCTATTTCTAATCATATTTCATATGGAAAGTTGTCCCCAGGGTTTCGTGCTTTCAATACTATGTTGGATAGTACAAAGATACCGAGAAATATACATGAGGCTCTCAATGATAAAAAATGGAGGGATGCTGTCTTTGAAGAAATGAATGCTTTAGAAAGAAATGGAACTTGGGAGATAGTGACCCTACCCAAAGGAAAAAAGGCAGTAGGATGCAAATGGGTGTTTACAATAAAATTCAATGCAGATAATAGCATCAACAGATACAAGGCAAGATTGGTTGCAAAGGGTTTCACTCAGACTCATGGGATAGATTATCATGAGACTTTTGCTCCGGTTGCTAAAGTCAATACCATCCGAGTTCTCTTATCTCTTGCTGCCAATCTAGATTGGCCTCTGCAACAGTTAGATGTGAAGAATGCATTCCTAAATGGTGACTTACATGAAGAAGTCTATATGGATCCTCCACCTGGTTTTGAAAGGGGAAATGAATCAGTGTGTAAACTAAAAAAGTCTCTATATGGATTGAAACAGTCTCCCAGAGAATGGTTCGACAAATTCACACAAGCAGTCAAAAGAAGAGGCTTCATTCAAGCACAGACTGATCATACTCTCTTCCACAAACACTCTAAGGATGGTAAAATTGCTATTCTTATTGTATATGTAGATGATATAATTCTTACAGGTGATGATATTGAGGAATTGAACACCTTGAAGAAATTTCTAGCAGCTCAATTTGAACTCAAAGACCTTGGCACTCTCAAATATTTCCTTGGTATGGAAGTTGCTAGGAGCAAAACAGGCATCACTCTAACACAAAAGAAATATGTTCTAGATCTTTTGTTGGAAACAGGAATGTTAGGGTGTAAACCTGCTGAGACACCTGTGGAACCTAATACCAAGTTAGGTATTGAAGATGGGAATGAGGTGGATAAAGAACAATATCAGCGATTGGTTGGTAAACTAATCTACTTATCTCATACGCGTCCTGACATTGCCTTTGCGGTGAGTATGCTTAGTCAATTCATGCACTCACCCAAGGAGAAGCATCTTAGTGCAGTCTATAGGGTGCTTAGATACCTCAAGAATACTCCAGGAAGAGGATTATTCTTTAAAAAGGGGTATAAAAGGACAATTGAAATCTACACTGATGCAGATTGGGCAGGCTCATCAGTAGACAGAAGATCTACCTCAGGCTATTGCACCTATGTGTGGGGAAATCTTGTTACTTGGAGAAGCAAAAAGCAAACAGTGGTTGCAAGAAGTAGTGCTGAAGCAGAATTTCGAGCTTTAGCTCATGGAGTTTGTGAAGGAATCTGGTTAAGAAGACTTCTTCAAGAGTTGAAGATTTCATATTCCCTGCCAATAAAACTATATTGTGACAACAAGGCAGCTGTTAGCATTGCTCAAAATCCTGTGCATCATGATCGAACAAAGCACGTGGAAGTTGATCGTCACTTCATCAAAGAAAAATTAGATGATGGAAGTGTGCATTTGATATATGTTCCAACCAAAGAGCAAACGGCAGATGTCCTTACCAAGGGCCTACACCGTCCAGCATTCGAAGACTTGATTGGCAAGTTGGGAATGATCAATATTTACCTCCCAACTTGAGGGGGAGTGTAGAAAATTAGAATTCAAACATGTTTCCGTTTTTATTTCCTATTAATTAGGATTGATTATGATTGATTATGATTGATTAGGATTAATTGTGATTGATTAGAATTGATTGTGATTAGGATTGTGATAGGATTGATTAGTCATCGCTTAGTCATTCTTAGCGATTCTTTCTTGTATAAATACTCACTCATGTAATTTATTCAATATCAATATACAAAAACTTCTTTTCAATAGCAGGTTTGATTGTTGATGAGCTGAAGGAAGAAACAGAAGACCTAAGCGGTAGTAGAGGAGACACACAGATTTTTAACTATCCAATGAACTACGGAACATGCATCAGCTTCTTATATTTGTTGAAGAATGCAGTTAAAGTTATAAGTACGTGAATCCTATTTCATTTATTCAGTTTGGCATGGTTTACCTATTTCATGTATATGGCCAGCTAACTCTTCAATCTGTTATGCTGAGTTACAGCAATAGGCACAAAGGATAGCAAAACTGCAACTGATGATGAAGGAAATCTCTCACAATCATGCTACCTCAAATGTGGTAATCATTATTTCCTCCTATCTTGTTCCTACCCTCTAAACATAAATTAGAACTTATCAGCTATCAAGAAATTTCAAGTATTGCATTCATGGTTTTGAACTATTGATTATTAGCAAACTCTCTTAGTCTATCTTCCACAGGCAATGTTCAACTTAAGGTTGTTCTGAATACTCATTGCCTAACATTTTCTATGTTATTGTATAGAGCAAGAGCGAGCAAGGAAAGAAAAGAAATCCAATCGATTCCCTCCGAATTGGGAAGTCTTCATCCGATTTCTAACCTTTATGATGAAGGCCTTGCTAATCCTTTTCGGTGTTGGTAAGTACATCATCATGTATTATTACCAATACCATTGTTGATGTGTAGTCTTAAGTGGACTAAAATAAACAACTCATTTATGTGTATACTTGTCTAAATTGAGTGACATATAGGAGCATCTTGGATAGAGAAAATTCAACGAAAGAAGGAGAAACACATGAGGGCTAAGCAAGTGATGGATGAATTGATTCAGCGAGCTTCTTTGTATAAGTATGATTATACTGGAAATAATTCCCTTGCTTTTCAGCATGACAAGGGTGGAGAAAAAATAGATAGTAATATGAACAAAGGAGATATTGATAAAAAAAGGGGAAGGGAATCACCAATTTTAATTGCAGCAAAGATGGGAGTAACTGAAATGGTAGAAAAGATCCTAACTACCTTTCCGGTGGCAATCCATGATGTGAACCATGATAACAAGAATGTTGTTCTTTTGGCCATAGAGAATAGACAGCCTCGTGTCTACAACCTGCTGACAAAGAAGAATTTAGTAAAAGAGCGTGCATTTCATCAAATAGACAATCAAGGTAACAGTGCATTGCACCTTGCTGCCACTTGTAGGGAACACAGGCCTTGGCGTGTCCCTGGTGCTGCAATGCAAATGCAGTGGGAATATAAATGGTATAAGGTAAAAAAAAAAAATTTAAGAAATCTTGACAAATTAGCCTAATTAATCATTCATTTCCCAACAATTAAATAGTTTTTGTGGCTTTTTCAGCTTGTTAAGAATTCCATGCCACCAAATTTCTATGCACGTTACAATAACAAGGGACAAACAGCGAAACAGGTGTTCCTTAATACTCATGGACAAGTTGTGAAAGAGGGAAGGAAATGGCTGGAAAAGACATCAGAATCATGCTCAGTAATTGCAGCACTTGTTGCAAGTGTTGCATTCACAACCGCAACATCAATACCAGGAGGTAACGATGAAAATACTGGTATGCCATTGTTGGGTGGACAAGTAGATTTCAACGTATTCGCTGTAGCATCACTTGTTGCACTATGCTCCTCGGTCACAGCCCTTGTTTTATTTCTTTCAATACTCACATCTCGCTACCAAGAAAAGGATTTTGCTGTGGATTTACCAAGAAAGCTTCTTCTGGGAATGACTTCACTATGGACATCTATAGCATCTGTGTTGGTTTCTTTCTGTGCAGGGCATTTCTATATCATTGAATATGGATTGAAATCTTCTTCAACTTATCTCATATATGCTCTAACATGTTTGCCAGTATCATTTTTTGTATTGGTTCAACTCCCTCTTTACTTGGATCTCATGTTGGCTTTATTTCGCAAGGTTCCTCAGCGCATCTATAAGGTCTTCTCTCACTAGTTGCTTTGCTGATTAGTTAATTTTAAGTTAATCTGCTTTTTCTTTTTTGTTATTTGGTGATGGTGAGATCTATAATAATGAAATATATTTGCTAAAAATTGAACACTCTCGGAATGTAAATTGCTAGTTTTAAGATTTTTTTTTTTCACTTTGGTTGGTGAAAGACAATATTCTTTGGAGCTTTTGCTTTGTTTTGTTAAAAAGTCGTTGTAAAAGAATATAATGCTTAAATAAGCAAAAATTTGGGGCATTCCGAGAATCGAACTCGGGACCTCTCGCACCCAAAGCGAGAATCATACCACTAGACCAAATGCCCTTCTTTGATTGGGGTGAAACGAAATTTAATGAAACTTATTGTTCAACTATTATAAAACAGATTAGTTAAGGTGACAGTATACTGGATATGTGAGTGATTCTAAAACGAAACCCAGAAAATGGGAAATATTCTTGTCATTCAGAAACATGTTTTCTCAGTCTTGCGTTTTCGGAATTTTCCATGATGTTGGAATATTAGCTCCTAGCTCTACGCTTCTATTTTTCCACCATGTGTTCAAGCCAGAAATTTATCAACAACTCAGGGTCCATTTCTTGTGCATACGATTTGCCCTTGTCACATATTTTAAAACATCTTAGAATCACAGGCACATATTGATATAGCAATGTAGGTAAAACACGAGGGAAAAAAAATTATTGGATTCAAAAAATATTTATCATGTTGAGGTCGACAAGACTTTGATATGTTTAACATTTTCATTTCAATTTAAGAAGAAAAAATAAATACGAGCACGCCACTGTTGGAGTTGGAGTGGGGGCAGACGGGATAGAATTGAGATCACACAATTGTATCACGTGAGACGCACATGACGCAGGTCAACAACACCTCTCGTGTGATTACTTTCAAGATGAACTTCTTTTTTCTAATTAAAGCAGAGGCATTAGACCTATAATTTGAGCATTCTCTTCCACAACATTTCATGGTAAATATTTTATTTTTCAAATGCACACATATTGGTAAAAAAAAAAAAAAAAAATTTAAATTGGTCAATGAGCCCAGAAAAGCAAGCGAAAGCCAAAGAGAGGAGAGAGAGAGAGAGAGGGAAAGAAATATTATATTTGCCATGACTGACTAGTCCAGTTTAACGTCAGACATGCAAGTCAGTCTTAGTCTTTTCTACTAGACAGATAGATATCTAATGAAGATAATAAAACAGATAAATATAACTTCTATATGTGAAGCGAATGCACCCGCATGTGAATGGTAAACTAACTTCCTTTAGCAATTCGGAGCCTAAAACTTAACAATTCACACACTGCAACTGGGATTCCCCAATGGATCATCAGAAACAGAACCAAGAATGCAACTAAGAACCAGGCACAGCAACCTTCAGCCGGAACAATTACCAAAATGTTACACCTCAGGTGCTGTCTTTACAAAACGCCACCAGGTTCGCAAATTTGAGCTTCTTTCTCAGCCCCTTTCATCTCGAGCCATAATAATGAATTGGCAGCGCACCTGGATCAAGTTCCCAGAAGCCTCTCAGATTGCTGCCATGCTCTTCTGTCAGTTTGAAAGCTGGGATTTGGTGCGAGAACCTAAGCAACTCTTTTCTGGGTATTCTCAGGTTGACAGCTGATCCATCATTTGATTTAGCCCTGAAAACTGAACTAAAACCACTAACAAACTCCAAAACTAAAACATCCATAAACAAATCAGTTTCTTCAAGAACTTCCACTATGTCATACTCCCAATTTTTCAAGTCAGAATATTTTATTTTACTTGACCAATTTCTATATAATGCCCAAACTTCACCTTTCCTTGGAAAAATGGCATAATAATTCTTATTCTTACCAACAGCATCAGCATGCACCTGATGGGAAACACAAGAGGTGTTCCTATAAATGCTGGCATTTGCAACTGTTTTACTAACTTTAAATCTGCCACAGGAAATAAGCATGTCTTTGTCTTCCCATTCAGTGGTATTCTCTGGTAGCCCGCAGCAATTAAGCCAATAAACACGCAATTCAAGAACTGGACTAGTTTTAATCACATTAACCTGACCATAGTATTTTGGCAGTCCATCCTCATCACTGTAAAATGCCCAAATCTGACCAATCTGAAACTTTTCAAGGGACCTCCCAGCATCAAAATTGAAGAACTGAGGTTCTGGAATTTCAATATCTTCTGGGGTCGAAGCTGCTGGTATTTCGATATCTTCTGGGGCCGAAGCTGGAGGAGCATGACCATCATCAATGTCATCAATGGAGTCCTTGACCTCATCTGCCAAATTGCTTCTTTCCACATCAACCTTAGAAATAGATACATCATCTCCCTCAGATGTCATCAGTGGTTTTGAACTATGTCCAGCCTTCACATCCAAATTTTCAGGAACAGCAATCTCTTCAATATTCGTCGGCAAAGCTGCAGGATCAAGTTCATAAGATCCTATATGAACGCCTACTCCTTCCTCACCAGTCATTTTGAAAGATGGAACCCTGTGAGAGAATCTAAATAACTCCACTGGTGGAATTTGAAATGATTGGTTATCTTCCATAGTAATTTGAGAAAAAAGACATACAAAACCTTTCAACTTAGCCAAGTATGCAACAGATACACCCTCACCTTCGACATAATCCGACAAGACTTCAACAAACTCATATTCATACTGCTGATGAGATTCCACATCCATGTGCCATTTGATATCCCAATTTTTAAAAAGAGCCCAAGTTTCTCCTTTTTTAGGATACACTTTAAAAGTATTGCGCCCAATCTTTTCACTCAAAATCAGATGAGAGAACATCAGATAATCTTCAGTGGTGTCAGTGCCACCAAGTTTATATTTCCCACAAGCAACAGGCAATTCCTCATTTACCCAGTTGATTTCATCATCGTCATCTGGACTTGGTTCAAACCATGTTATCCGCAGCTTAAATCCAGGAGAGAGAACTTTTCTGATTAAAGCATAGAATCTAGGCATGCCCTCCGCTGTATCATAAATAGCCCAAGTCTGCCCAGCAGCAAAACATTCTTTTTTCCTATCCTTGCCAAAGTCACTGAACTCTGCATCAGGATAGACATAAATATTTGGATGATTTGCTGCTTTGGAGACTGAATAAGGAGAAGGATGCTCGGATGTTTCATCCACATGCTTTGAGTCTCCCACTGCTTCTTTTCCCCTCACTTTTTTAGTTTCCTTGTTTCTATTTAATAAGTTCTCTTCAGAATACAGATGATTCCGTTTTACCTCATCATTGTCACTTGCATTCTCCTCATAGGAAACTTGATGTTTTTGACGTGTAGATCTCCGTGGATGCTCTTCTCTATAAGTTGAATGGTCTTCTACACCAGGAAAACCATCCTCGCCAGCAACCATATTATCTTCAGAATCCGTGCTACCTGTAGAATCAGAACTTTCACTAGATTCCGCCACCTGGTTACTCTTTCTCTTTCCATTTGGCTTCCTAGAGACATCAGTAGTGCCTTTATTGTCATAAGGCTCTGTATTGGACTTCTCAGCATGCAGATTTCCTTGAAATCCAGCACCCATCTTGAAAGCATCATGATTCAAATGATGGCCAAAAGCTTTCTGACTTGAATTAGTTGCTGGTGATGTATTTTGCATATCCACATCATAAGCAATGAAGGGCCTATTGCACTGCTGACAACGGAGAGGTTTATTTAAAACTTCTCTATAATACTGATATTTAACAGAACAAAAAGGGCAGACAGTCCAAAAAGTAGGGCGGCTATAGTTGTGCCTTTGCTGCACTGGCGTCCTAGATTGCTGCTGCTGCTGCTGAGCATTCAAGTTCGTAAAACTGGGCTTTACATTGGTTTTCACCGCAGAATTAAAATTCATAGGAGCCTTCTGCTGACTATGACGTGACGTGGCAGTTTTGTTCATTGGAACCCTACGCTTCATGTCATGGATAGTTCGTTTATCTTTGTCCAAAAGCACTCTTTGAGCTTCACCAATCAGCTTAAATGCAGCTTCTGCACCAGAAAACTTGTTTTTGTCGGGATGCAGTTGGAGAGCAAACTTCTTGTATTGCTTCTTGATCATAAGATCGTTAGCAGTCTGTTCAAGTTGCAGAATTCTGTACCAGTCCATCTCATTACCAAACAATTTCAGCTCAGCAGAGCAATGCACATCACAAACAAAAAGCATTTGAGCTATATTTTCCAGATCAGGATACAGCTGCTGAGCCTTAAGAGCAATTTTACGTGCCCCCATGAAATCTCTTCTTTCCATCTTCTTTTCAGCAATGTCCTTGGCCCTTAAGGCCTCTTCTTTATTGCAGTCCATCAAAGATCCAGATCTCAGAACCTTACAGTAAGTGCTATGGCCAAGTGCACAGACAAACAAGCTACATTTAATTTGACTGCTCTGAGAACAGCTGGACCAAATCAAAATGCAGAGTGAATAAACCTTCCAACACCCCCATGGCCACCAGTCCCCCAAAAGTAAGTCCTCAAATTCAGATTGACCCTGCATATTTTGTATAACTTGCAACTATTAGATCCTACATTGGTCAATTTAAATATTAAAAGAATGTAAGAAACTAGGAATCAATGATATTGCAAACAGATTTCCAAACATAAAAGCAATGTATCAGAGGATGGGTTGGATCATTAAATCCATTAGAACAATAACATACCAATTACAATAGAAACTTATGACATAAATTATAAGTGATCACCTATTGTTGTATGCGTGTGAATTTTTCATACACAAAACAAGAAGAATATCTACATAATGTTGAAAATAAATAGGACAAGGCACCTTATTCCCGTTCCCCTCCTCCTCATTTCACTCTTCTTTTCTTTCAGGTAGCACATAAAGCAAATCTAAACTTTTTTAGGCAACCACAAAAACCAAATGCATGCTAGAAAGTAGCAACAATAAACGGGGAGTACATAATTCCAAAACCATGGGTAAAAATGCTTCAATCCAACAACTGTATCAAAGAGAAACCCAACAAGGGAACGCCCTTTAAAATACACTTTACATAAACACCAAAAAGGAACCCGCATCCACACACACTCTGCAAGCTCCCAATAGAAGGATTATGACTAAATGGGTATCATTCAAATTCCAAAAACAGAACAGCATTCAAATACACAACTGAAACAACAAAAACCCTAACAGAACAGTATTCAAGTAACAGGCAAAAAAAACCCTAACAAAATTCGAAATAAACAGCAGAAACAACAAAATATGAAAAAGCAAAAGAAAAATAAAAAGTATCAAAGAAAAAGCTAGAAAGAAATAAAAGCAACCATTAGTTTCCTCTTCTTCCAGGGAATGCACTCAACAATTTGAACATGCATTGTAAGGGGAAAAAAAAAAAAAAAAACCCTAAAGTCGATAAAGCATCAACTGAAAAATAAAAAAAGAAGAAATAAGATCTTGAAAACAAAGCAAATGAAAATTAGAGAATAAGTAGTTGTACGAACCTTCAGAAGAAGGAAAAAGAAGTGGGAGAGAGAAGGACCGATGAATTCAGATTCTGACAACCATTGCACGACACAGTCAGTCACCACCCTCATATATATTAACTAGTCCTAATTTTTGAACTCATTGTGATCCAACCCGGCTTATTAACATGGTCCAGCCCAAAATTAATTCAATGCATGATTGACCGTTTTGCCCTTATTTTAAATTTTTTTATCACTTTATCTCTCTTTTCAAATTATAGGATGACTGACCTTTTTACCCCTTATTAAAATAAATATTACATTTTTACTCTCGTATCAAAACATTTCACTCATATGCCCTTGTTTGACCGTTAACTGAGTTATATACGAGTAGAGGAGTTTTGCATACTCAAATATTTTTCGTGATTTTAAGTTACTCGAATACTAACTCGACCTATTCGAGCCGAGTTATATACAAGCGGAGGAGTTTTGTATACTCAAATACTTTTCGTGATTTTAAGTTATTTGAATACTAGCTCCACCTATTCGAGCGTAGTTATATACAAGACGAGGAGTTTTGCATACTCAAGTACTTTTCATGATTTTAAGTTACTCAAATACTAGCTCAATCTATTTGAGTATATTTCTTCTACTCTAGAATTTTCCACTTTTTCTTCCGTTTTCGTTGTACCCATTATGAAAAGCCAATATTTTTATTTTTATTTTTTTCTTCTATAATTCTTACCCTCCTATTTCCCTCATTTTTTTAGGAAATCATATTCGGATTCAATTGGAAGCTAGATCTGAAAATTCAGAATACCTATCTGAACGAAGCCTCGTAAAAGCCTAACTTTTTACAACTTCGACTCATAGGTAATTGTTGCACAGCCCCCCCCCCCCTCCGGGTTCTCACGAGGAGACGGAAAAAAAAGAAAGGGAAGAAGGAAAAGGAAAATCCTTCCATTATTAATTACGACTTAAGCAACACCAACAACGAGAAGGGACCGAAATTCACTATTTTGAAGGACCCAATAGGGCGCGAGATCGAGGTTCGATAAGAGTTGGGTCGCGAGTTGGATTGGGGCGAGTTCATTATAACGTACCTGTACACACAGACAAGGAAACTAGAGAGAAGTTAACGTGCAAATCGATATCGAAGAAGAAGCTGAGAACTGCAATCGACATCGAAGATGTGAGGAGAGAGGTTTAGATCATGAGGCACTTATCAAAACACCCTAACATCGTTACCTTAAAGGACACCTATGAAGACGAAAATGTTATTCATGAAACTTACTCGAGTACGTGGGTGAAGTATTCTAGTAAGTTGCCCAGTCAACGGTCAAACAGAGACAAATTAATATTATGTTTTAGTAAAAGGTAAAAAAAATTAAATAGTTTAAAAGATCATTTGTAAATCATTTACTGGAGTAACTAACTCATTTATTCGAATAAGTGTGAATAAGTGTCAATCAAATTTTGATCAAACAAGGTTAGTTTGATATATAATTTGAGAAGAGAGACATATTAATATATACTTCTATAAGAGGGGTAAAGTGGTAAAAATATTTAAAATAAGGACAATGTGATCAATTAGCTATTGCATTTGAGTTTAGAAAAAAAACAATATTAGGGTTTGTGTTGGGATTAATTTATAGTATAAGTCATACACCAAATTTTTTTTTAAGGGTTAGTATAAATTTTGGTCTTTGATAAACTTTTAGTTTATCATATTTTTAGGGCTGATATCACATGAACTATATACTCAAAAGCAAAAAAACTTAGGATTATATGATGAAAAAGCATGAAAGTTGAATTAGGAACTAACATAACTGATTCTTGCTTGTTTTGAAGGTAAATTAATGTGAATTGGAGCAAGGATGAAGTTAAAGGACTTTATGTTCTTAAGATGCTCCATCAAAACCCAGGTTTTATTCTTTTTAAGAGAATTCATCTCTTCTTGCATGGCCTTCAGCCAATTTACCTTAAAGTCCAGTCCCATAGCTTCCTTATAGGAAACTGGGCTCATCATATTCAACCACATCTCCCACTTGGAGAGCAAATGCAATAACATCAGCATGTGCACACCTGCTAGGAGGCCTTATATTCCTCATAGTCCTATCACAAGATAGCAAGTAATCCTCCAGATTATTGTCATCCTCTCTACCTTGATCTTCCTCAATGGGAAAGTCATTCCCAGCTTCTTGATCTTTTGCAATAGGATGTTGCTTATCCAAATCAACATTTCCAGTTGTCTGCCAAGTGTCAGCAACTGCTTCAACTCTAACTCAAGAGTTCCAGGAGGCTAGTCCTATTCACTACTCTTTTTAATGTCTTTGTAGAATGTATTTCTTTGAAAATAACATCTCTACTTACGACACATTTCCTTTTAGCTATAAGCCATAACTTATATCCATTCACACCTGGGGGATACCCATTGAATATAGACTTAAGTGCTCTAGGAGTCAACTTGTCTTGCTTAACATGTATATATACAAGGCAACCAAATGGTTTCAAGTGTCCTCGACTTGGTGGCTTTCTATACCAAAGCTTCAGAGGAGTTTCGAGTCCTATGGTAGTGGAGGGGCTTCTATTAATCACATAACATGTTGTGAAAATAGCTCCTCAACCCAAAAAAATTTCCTCAGACCAGACTCAACAAGCATATATCTTACTTTATTTAAGATGATACAATTCATTCTCTCAACCACTCTATTATGTTGGGGTGTCTCAACACAAATTATGTGCCTCTGTATTCCCTACTCATTGCAATAGTCAGAGAACTGACTATTACAGAACTCTAAACCATTCTTAGTCCTAAGGACTTTTTCTATTTTATTAATTTCATTCTTAACAAAGGTTTTCTAGCTCTTAAAGCTCTCAAAAGTTTGATCTTTATGCTTTAAGAAAAATTCACACTCTCCTGGAGTATGAATCCATCATTGACAAAAAATAATGGCAAACAAAAAGGGAATTTGAGACATTTGGTGCTCCCTACAGGTTAGATTCAATGTATTCAAGGACTGCCTTTGAAGAGTTAGTAGCACTAGAGAAGTGTAACTTGTGTGTTTTTTCCAAAATGCAATTTTCACAAAATTTAACACTTGTTACCTTCTTAGAGCTAATGATGCCTTGTCTATATAGTTCTCACAGACTCTAATTACTCATATGTCCAAGTCTCCTATGCCAAAAAATGAACTTATCATCTTTACTTGTTGCCACTTTCAAGTATAGCAGCATGGCCTTGCATAGGCAAACAAGAGGACTAGAGGAGGAGATAGGTTACAGATAGAAAACGAACATGGAGAGGAAACAAGAACCTAAGCTCTTGATACCACTGTCAGGCGAGTCAATGGGAGTCTGTCAATGGGCTAAACTATATCAAACACATCAAATGAGTCTGACACCATGCCTCAACCTAAAGTCTTAAGGCATTGGGTTCATAGGTTCTTCCACTTATATGAACTTCACTTAGTCCATTATCAATCAATGTGAGACGTCATCACACTTGAATATCCTAACAATTAAAATCTGTTACTTAGAAGATAGTTACTAGGAGACAATGCTCTACAAAAAAAAAAACTTGTAATGTGCAATATTATATTAATATGCATGGAATATCATGATTCAGTTTTGAAATTTCATTTCCTTTCTTTCTCCCTGGCTTTCATTAGTTAAGGAGTTCATCTCCTAACATGTTCCAAATTCCACATCTTTTTTTATTCAATATATTATAAAGCATATAACATATATTTATTAATGACCCAAGAACTGTTGACCTCGATATTTGACCTGCTTAAGAAATAATATATTTGATTTTTGAGAGTCATAACTCTTATAAAAGATGAAAAGACTCAAACCCGAAACCAAATTAGTTGAGTCGTTGGAGTTTTGGACACCCACTTATATCTACTAAAAATATATATTAACTAATGAAACTAATCATGTATTTCTCATTTAACTCATCAATTCTACTTATCAAACCAAAAAGTGAGTCATGTCGCAAGCTGTTTATGACTTGTTTAATTCATTTTCGACCTATTTGGGTTCCTAAATTTTTATTTTGGTCTTGTTTACATATTTATGTTCTAGCAGGCCGCTTTGAAACAAACAAATGCTAACTCAGCATTCAACAGTATATTCCATCAAGGATATGCCCTGTGTATCTCTGTTTGTTTTAATAGCTGGAAAAGCAAATTCCAGAAAATATAATTTTTCTAATATTTGTTTTCTGGGGATCCCTGTTTATGCTCATAGTTGCCCGAATAATCAATTTTAGCTGCTTCATACGCAGCCAAAAGGCAAAGCCATAGCTGGTAGTACTTTATCTTTTGGAAGAACTTCTGAAACAATGTCTTATGTTTCCAGGCACCAAAGTAGACAAAAAAAATTGCTTATAAAGTTATTTCCGATATGGTTCCCTGGTCTATAAAGATCCTTCAATATCAAAATCGATAAGTCATGTGTGTCTCATTTCTAATTCAAGGAAGTAAAGTATCTTAGATAGATCAGCCATGTAAGGATATGAATTGTTTCCGGATACAAAAGAGGTCACCGAGTTTCTTATCTCAATCCAACTACTACCAGGCACTTTCTTCACCCCTTGGTCCAGCATAGCCTTCCGAACTATCTCTGCTTCCTTCCATTGCCCACTAGCACAATACAGATTTGACAACAATACATAACCAACCTCTTTTTCAGGCTCTAAGTTCTTTAGATATTCTCCCACAGAGCTCCCAGTTCCTAAATCTCCATGTGTATAACATGCTCCGAGTAGAACCTCGCATGAATTGGTCCTAGCACTGCTTGTCTTTGAATACTTCTTAGCTAAACTTCTTGCTTCTGCCACGTACCCACCTCGACCAAGCATATCCACCATGCATGCCACATGATCCATTCCATGGGGAAGTCCAAATTCCAAACTCATTGATTGAAAGAATGCAAAGCCCTCATCTATAAGCCCCAAGTGGCTGCAAGTCATTAGCAAACCAGTGAAGGTTACTTCATCAGGTTTTACACTAGATGACACCATTTCTCTGTACAGGCATATAGCTTCGTTAGCCCGCCCGTGCAGGCCAAATGCAAACAACATTGAATTCCAAGAAACCAGGTCCTTCGCAAGAATGCCTTGAAATGCAAGCCTTGAACACTCTATATCCCCACATTTAGCATACATATTAACCAAGCTATTGCCGACATATAAATATTTGTCTAAACCTTGACGAATTATGCAACTATGGACCATTTTTCCATAAACTAGTACTGCTAAGCTAGCACAAGCATGAAGGACTGCTCCAGCTACTAAATCATCAAGCTGGACAGAGTTTCTTGTCATGTCTAAAAACATACTTAGAGCTAGCTCTCCATTCCCATTTCTCGTATACCCTGCAATCATAGAAGTCCAAGAAACGATATTCTTCTCAGGGGCCTGTTGGAAAGCAAGAAAAGCTTTCTGGGTATCTCCCAATTTCATATGAGCATCAATGATGGCATTCCAAGACACTTGATTAAAAGCGCCAAAGGAGTCAAATACCTTCATAGCATCACTGTGACATTCTAATTTAGCATAAAAGCTTAAAATCGAGTTCTTTACCTCCACAGCAGAGATCCAACCAGATTTAAACACAAAACCATGCACCATGCATCCGTATAACACTTCCATTGACTCGGCGCAAGCATTGATGAGAGCACTGAAAGTCCATTGGTCTGGCTGATACAAACTCTTACACATCTCTTTAAACAAACGCAAGCATGCTTCAACTTCACCACAACGAGCATGACCTGCAATCATTATATTCCAAGCAATTTCAACCCTTTCAGGCATATTACGAAACAACTCAAGAGCCATGCCAAACCGACAAGAGTTTGCATAAGCAAACAGAAGCGAACACCAAGTCACTTCATTACTATCAATCATCTCATTAAACACTTTTCTTGCATCATCAGGATTCAAGCACTTGCCATACATATCAATAAGTGAGTTAGCGACGGGAAGAGAAGACTGGTACCCTGAAACAACAACCAAAGCATGAATTCTGGTTCCAAAACGAAAATTTGATGCACCTGCGCATGCTTTTAAGGTTGCAGAGTAGGAGAAGTTATCAGGTTCGCAATGGGAGATTCTCATGCTAACAAAGAGACCAAGACTTTGTTGATAAAGTCCTAGGTGGGAATAGGCAGTTAGCATGGCGTTCCAAGCAACAGAGTCTCTGTGATGCATTTCATCGAACAGTTTGCGAGCATGGGAGATTCTACCTGAACGTGCTAACGTGACAATCTTAGACGTAGTACGGAACAAATAAGAGCGCATGTCATTCATACAGGTTTCATTTTTAAGAAGGATGCAAATAAATCGGCTCTAACAACAAAAATTTACTCACTACCTACAAATGGAAATGCGAAAGTCAACATTAAAACGTCTTGTCGTTCATAAGACCTACCTACCAATTAGAAATGTATTTATTTGGGAAAGCGAAATGGTTCCTCAATCGCTTTTGATCTTAAATGTAAAAAAGAAAAAAAGTTTTATGAAAAAATTAGTTGAATTAAAATTGCTCATCTTCTAACTGCATGCGATCCGTGAAAAATATACGAAAACGCAGTATGATTTAAAACTATTATATAATTTAAATTAAACCATCGTAGACTTTAAAAACAAATTCAATTTAAAAGAATATTATGTATGAATGATTAAATAATAAATATCTATTACAATGTTATTAAAATTGAAAATAATTTTCCCCAAAAAAATTGATAAAAATTAAAACTCCGTAGTTGAAGAGTTTAAATGCTGTCATTATTATGATATTGAAGACAAAATTCGGCAGTTAAATTTATGAGATTTACTTCTCTTAGCTAACTTTTTTGGGATAGGATCAATTTACACCGGTGTAAGAATAATAAATCTTACATCAAATCTTAACCGTTGATTTCTGTGCATTCAATGGTTGAGATTTATTGAGAATTAAAAATTAATTAATGAGTGAGACCTAATAAATCTTAACCGTTGGATGTAGAAAATCAATGATTAAGATTTGGTGTAAGATTTATTATTCTTACACCGGTGTAAGATGATCCTGCCCCAACTTTTTTTAAAGGGAAAAGTATTTATTATTTTAAATGGAATAAAATTATGTCATTTTAAGAGAGAAATAGACACATAAAAATATTTTTTATTTAAAATTTAAATTAAAAAAAAATCACTCATTTTCTCTCCCATGATTTTCAGTCTTTGTGTCTATCTCTCTCTTAAAATAACATAACTTATGTCATTTAAAATGACAAACACCAAACTCTTTTTTAAAATTATAAACTAAAATGCATTCCTTCAAAAAAACTCGTTTGGCTAACTTATACAGTTATTGAAGCTTTTTTTATTATCAGCATGACAAATATTATTATCTTTCGTCGTCATCTTTATTACTATTATCATTATTGTTATATTCTTACCATTATCATCACCATCATTTTCAGTATCATTGTTATTATGATAATAATAATATAAAGAGAGCTAACAAAAGTAGGCATACTTGGTTAACAACTAGGCTCATAACCCACAAGGGTGTGAATTAAAATCCTACTAACCTATGTAAAAATTGTATTGATAGATGATTTGTAATCCCTCTCAAAATTACTCAAAGAGATTGGAGAATCTACCCCAACCCCAATGGAATATCAGTGTCTAACCCCACCTAAACTTTTTTATTAATAAAAAATAATAATAATATAAAGTGAGGACATTTGATTCTTTCCCGTTCTAATGTCTGTGTATATATATTTTAAGCAATTACCACAAAAAATAATTTCACTTATGAAATTTGTTTTGTAAAATTACATTTCGCAATTTTATAATAATTTCTATACTTTAATTATTAAATTGAAATTATTGTGACATTATATATTAAAATTTACTTTCCTTTGGTTGTCCACTTCTAGCATAGTGTAATGGCATGCAGAGGTACAGTTTCTCTTCGGTTTCATTGACTATACACTTTTTTCCTTCATAGTTATAGATTAGCAGACTACTAACTGAAACCAAAGTTTTTTATACTTGTATGATTACATGTCCGCTCAGTATAACTTGCTCGATGAGCATTAAGCTTCAAATATGCCATTCAAATAGATATGCTGTGTTCCCGTTTCAGCCAAAAAGTCAGATAGCAGCAACAATAACTGATAATTAGACGTTGGATCAATATCCCAATATCAAGTAATACGAGAACTAGTTGGATTTATAAGGAAAATTACGACATATATGTACAAATGAAACTCCTACATATAATATATAATATAAACAGGGACAGATTTCATTATTTAGTTGCAGGCTCTTCAGCTGCTCCAGCCACTGAGCTCTCACCCGACTCTTTCTCAGACAAGCTCTTTTCAGGTGCCTTTACATTCACATTCTCCGAGTCTTGAACAATGTTCCTTCCATCCTCAACTTCACTTTCTTTTGATTCCTGCTGTATTTCTGAGTATGCAGTCAAACCCTTCTCAGAGGAACCCTATGCTGCTGAAGGAGGGGATTTTTCAATGTCTTTCAATGCATTTTCTTGCACTTCTTGATTTTCCTGGTTACTAACACTAACTTCAGATTCTTTGGTGTCAAATTTTACAAGAGAGTTGTCAACTAAATCCTTCTCAGACAAGCTCTCCATATGTTCACTCCCTGCTGCTGAAACCCCACCAATTGATGCAGTTTCTGGCACGGCTAAACAACCTGGCATAACATCCATCCCATCTCCTATAACAACTTCAGTTTTTTCTGATCCCTGCATTCTTGGTGCACTGCCAACTATACATTTCTCAGATAAGCCTTCCACATTTTCAACTGATACTGAGGAACTTGAGACTTGAGAGACATTTGCCATCTTAGCCGCACATCTCTCAGTAATATCTGCCAGATCCTCAACGTCAGCTTCTCTTGAAGCATCTTGCAACAGAAAGATTCCTTGTGAACCTTCATCAGACAAGTTCTCCACCTCATTTTTTCCCTCCGATGCTGTGACAGAAACATCGAAATATTCGGACTCATCATCTACAGATATCCCACCAACCTGGGATGCACATAAGATGGAATCACAAGCCAGAAGTAAAGAAAATAATAGATTACACATACGGCCTTTATATAGACAAACCACAAAAGCTGGATATGTACAAAATCATCTCCCAATTAGTATATAATGTACTAATTCAAAAAATAGGGCATTAGAAGAGAAACAGTGCAGTCATGATTTTGGCAAAGCAGGATATTACAAATACGTGCACATATATAAACTCAGGCAGCATAAATTTTAATTTGTTTCTTCTGACCGGAGAAAACCTCTTAGGGCTCGTTTGGTAGACAGGATAGGATAAAGGTAGGATATGATATGGGGCTGATAAGTCTATATCATATCCTGTGTTTAATGAGTACCTGATTAACAATCTGATAAGATTATGTAGAAGGAGAAAGGAGAAAGAAAGAAAAAAAATATAATGCAATAAATGCAAATATATTGGGTAGCGTGGGGATATAATGGGTATCTAATATTGGTATCATATCCTGTTGAATCCTAACCCAGCTCCCCTCATAGAATAAGAAATCATGTATTGGATAGGATAAAATGAGACAATAGGATAAGCTAATCATATCCTATTGACCCACCAAACAAGAGATAAAAGTAGGATATGATAAATTATCCTATCCTATCCTATCTTCTTTATCAGGTGCTCCAAACATGCCCTTACACTTATAAATTGTTCAACCTTAAAATAAACCTACTGACTTATAAAAACCAAAAAAAGGAGGTTTGGGCAGAATCTAATGGGCAAACCAACCTGTGACTCGCCTGGATTACCCATCTCAGCTTCAGAATTATTTGATTCCGGTAGCACAACTGGATTTGTAGCAGGACCCTGCAGAAATAAATTCATGAAGTTAAAGGCAGAATTGCGGTAGAGTAGACATAATATATAGGCGCAAAATGACTTACACCAGTGGCATCTCTACAACTCCCCTCTCCAGTCAAACAAAAATTCGGCTCCCCTAGGGCTAGCACACTGCTCAGTGGACCCTTATCAGATGACACCTCAATGTTATTTTCCTCCATCATCAAGGAAGATGAAGGTACATCGATGTTTCTTAATGAAAGCCTTTCAGTATTAACCCCAGCAATAACAGATGCCTCCATTTGATTACCAATCTCGGTTTCTGAAGGATTTGACTCCTGTAACGTTAATAGATTTGTAATGGGTCCCACCATAAATGAATTTATTAGTAAAATTGAAGGAATAATAACCATACCAGATTTTAGTAGGTGAGAAATGCCATACCTTATTAGCATCCCTAGGATTCTCTCCTGTCAAACAATATTTTGGTTCCGTAGCAGCCAGTGGGTTGCAGAAATTACCATCACATGATACATCATCTTTATCTTGCTCCATCACCAAAGAAGAAGATGATTCCACGTTTTTGGATGTAAGTCCAGGATCAACCCTGTCAACATCACATGACTTCATTTGATCAACCATCTCAGCTTCCGAACATTCTGATTTCTGTTGTGGTGATGAATTTGCAAAGGTTCCCTGCATAAATGAAGTCAATTCAAAATTGGAGAGAATTACCGCGCCGAATGAGCTAATATAGTAATGTGAAAAATGACACACCTTGGTGTTGTCCATGCAACTCTCCTCTAGAATCAAAGGGTCTCTTGGTTCACCCACAGCTAGGGGACTGCAGAGGGGGTCCCTGTCAGGTAACACATCAACATTATCTTCCCCCACCAGCAAGCAAGAAGAAGGTTCATCCATGTTTTTGGGACTAAGCCTTGTTAGATCATCCTCAGAAACCTGAGAAGCATCCATTTGATTACTAATTTCAACTTCTGATTTTTTTCCTTTTACTGAGGAAACTTCACCCTCCAGAGAGTGGCTGACAGTCATTGGAGAATTTGAAGCCATTTTATTGATTTCCAACTCTGTATTTTCTGGCAAAATATAACCAGATTGCAATCTATCAGAACAGTTACTCTGTTCTGCATTGGATCCTTCCATGTCATTCGGGGGTACAGACCTCGAACCTAATTTCCTGTCAGATGATACCCCAATTTTTTCTTCCTCTTTCACTTGGGACAACGAAGGCTGGACAGTATCTGGGACGGATATCATCTGATCAACTTGAGGAACATCCAATTTACCAAATGCATCATCAGAGCGCACTGGTACCCTCGGAGACATTGAGGAGCTTTGTAAACCATCCATATCAGATGTACAACTGATCCCTTCTTCCTTCCTCACCAAAGGAGATGAAGGTAAAACCAAGCTCTTTGATGTATTATCTCCAGACCCGACACGAGAATCACCAACCTGAGACATACATTTATCAACCAGCTCAATTTTAGAATCCTTCAATTCACCTGATGAAGATGAACTGATAGATAGGCCCCTTGTGGATAAGCTTTCTATGTTTTCTTCCTTTGTCATCGAACAGGAGGGTAAATCCACGTTTTCTTGCAAATCCTCACAATTTACATGCAAAATCTGATTAATGGATGAATCCATTTCAACATCAGTTTCCACTTGACCAACTTTTGCTTCCTCCCGGATTCCACAGTTGCTAGCCATGCCCTTCTCCATTGAATCTTCCGGTGGTTCTGAACTCCTAACTAAACATGTTACAGATGAGTCCCCATTTTGCCCTTTTACCGAGGTTGATGGCGGCAGAACTGCAGTTTCAGTTGCTTCTACTATACTACCTACTGCAGAAACACCCACTAAATCATCTACTACAGCTTCCAAACGAGAAGCTTGTGGCAACACTAACCTATCAACAGGATCCTTGTAGGAGTGAGTATCTATAATTTGTTCCTCAATTGCTGCAGAACAAGACAGATTTATGTTCGATGATGTATTTTTGGTCACAATCTCATCAACATGCAGGAACGTCATTTTGTTACTGTCAGATGTGTCCATTTCCATATGGCAAGCCACAGATAAATCAGCTTTTGGATTGCCAATGGGAGTGGGTAATATTACATTTTCTTCGGGAACAGGTTCAATATTAATAGGTTTAGCAGCAAATTCTTCATCCCTTCTTTCCTCACATAGGGATTCTGAGCAGCTCTCAACCAATGGAGTCTCATGCAAATCAGCAGGTTCCAATGCATCTGGATCCTTCTGAGATAGAACATCTTTGGAGCTCCCAGGGCCTTCCATTTCAGAAGCTGACTCTGAACACTGTTTTATGGAGGGTCCTAATTCATTTTGGCAATGATTTCCAAATGTAGTCTGACTCTCAGTCTCAAGCAAATGAGAAGCAGCATCCAAGCTCAAGTTTGGAGACTCCACAGTATTATCTCTATTGTGGTCCACTAATGCAGAATTTCCATACCCAAAATTCCCCTTATAAAGAGCGAGTTCAGCGGAAGCTTGTAAAGAAGACTCAGTTTCACTTCTAGAATTAATTTCAGCGTGTTCAGAAATACTAGAAACTACCATTGTTCTTGAATGAGGACCTGATGCAGGACTAGATGGGGTCATTTGTGGTTGATCGCCCAAATTTCCAGCCTGAACCAATAACTCAGAGCTGTCACCACAAACAAGAGATGAAGATTTTGAAGACAGTCCGGAAGGCTCCAATATTTCATTAGAAGTATGCTCTGTTATATCAGGAGGTTCGTTTGTGGATGAATGAATCTGATTGCAAGTATCAGCCTGACTAGATTCAGGATTATTACAAACATTTTCTGGTTCCAATATAGTTGCTGGGCATACTGTGCCACCAATATGAAGTGGAGGAGATCTTGAACAATTCTCTAAAGAGTCAGATTGGTTTCCAAGATTATGATCAATTACCACCAGAGGCTCAGCACCAGGGAAAACCACGGATGGGTACATCTGATGGGTAGAAGTCTCTATATTTAAATCAGTGAGGTCACAACCAGTAGGAAGCCTCTCAGAAGAACCATCAGTCTCTTGGGTAGTATTAAGAGGAGTTACATGAAGATCCTCCATTTTACCCTGATTAGTTGAGCGTTCACTGCAATGTTGTGTCTGTTCAACCTTTTCTTTAACATCACCAGAATCACTAATTTCAAGCACACTGACATTAGGCAGGGTCTCATTCAAAGGAGTTATTTTTTTATCAGATGCAATGGTAGATTGTTGCTCCTTCCCATTCACAGGAGTGGCAGATGTCAGGCTCATTGCTCCAATAATTGGCGTATCTAAACTTGCTTTACCCTCAAGCTTCTGCATATTGGGTGCCTCCTCTGGTTGTTTTTCATGATCATCAACTGCAACATCCAAACATGTTGCTTTAGTAGTTGCTGTATCAGAACACGCATTATCCTCCAAACTCTGGTTATTGGAGGCATCCACTGTAGCTTTAGTCATTACATGTACAAAAGGTGCAGTATTCCTATCTTCACTCCCAACAGAATCATGTGCTTTAGGCTTTGGCAAGCAAGTTCCAGAGAAAACTTCCTTCATCACCCGTGCAACATCATTGACATTATGAATTCGGCCAAAAGCAGCAATCTTGTCCGAGGATACAGGTGCACTGTCAATCTTTGTTGATGCAACTTTCTGCTGCTTATTTTGGGTAGAATTGGTGGCTCTCTCTTTTCTTTTTGAATCATGACTAGCTACTCCACTGGGCAAAAGGATCTCAAATGGTTGAGTTTGAGTAACATTCGTAGTAGTTCTACCTGCCAATGAATCTCCTGATGAGTTCTGGGCATGATGACTTAATTTAGGATCCTGACCAGTAAGAGCATCAGGAACAACAGGTAACATGGAAGCAGATTTTTTCCCCCTACGGCGTGGTGGCTCCACTCTATTTTGAGCTTTACGACCTTGCCTTTTGGCTGGCATGGATTCAAATGAGCCTGGACGAGTAGACTCAGAGCCTGGTGTGGAAGGATAAACTGTGCTTAGTGCACTGGGAACAATCTTTGCAGTCGCAGGATCTATAGCTGTACTAATGCTTTCTGTAGTTGTGCTACCAGCCAAGGAATTACTTGGAGTACCAACAATTGAAGGGAAAGTTTTTGAAGCATGGACAGCTTGATGTGTTTTTCCAACTGTCTGTTGGTCTATTGTTACCTCTGTAACAGGTACAGTTGGGACAAATAAATTTTCATTACAAGAATTATCACAAACTTCAATCTTCGATGAGATTATTTCAGAAGATTTAACCTTCACAGAAGAATCGTGAACATCAGGATTCTTAACCTTCTCTAAATCATGCCCTGCAAAAGAATTCCTTAATTTACATCCAAGGTCTTTTCCAAAATAAATATTAAGTTGTTAGAATTAAATACAGCAGTGAACAATATATTCACCTGGGGACTTGATTGTACTATCTTGTGACGAAGACAAGATCACTGTCTGCTTGGCTAGATCATCTGATCCTTCCACTGATTTTAAATCCTGGTTACCTAGACTCTGCGATGCTTGGTCCTGGATAACACATTTTGATTCTTGAACATTGTTCACTTGCAAGCTTTTTAAGTCGGTAACTTTGTCACCTGATATACTGCCTGATGAAATCATTAGATTAGAACTTTGACACAAATCCTGATGACCTAAAACATCTGGAACAGGAGGTGATATTGTTGGCTGTTTCTTCCCCCTACGCCGGGGAGCTCCTGCTCCATTTTGTGACTTCTGACTTTGCCCCTTACTTTGCATCTGTACGGACGGATAAGTGGGGGCAGTTTGAGCCAAGGTAATAATAGAGGCCGTAGGATCGGGTAGCTGAGAATTCAAAGCAGTCCCAACACTCAAATGATCCTTCCCACTGCTTAAAGAAGAAGAGCCTGAAATGGTAGTTGGATGGTGTGCTGCAGCAAAGCCAGTAACAGATTCACTCTGAGAGTGTGCTTGACTAGAAGATGGACTCACTAATTTATCTTCTAATTGCTCATTCATCTTTAAATCAGGACCAACAGAACCACCAGCGATAGGAGATGAAATCATGACCTGCTTCTTCCCTCTACGTCTAGTCCCTTCTCCACCACTATGAGTTTTTCGCCCTTGTCCTCTTGCTTGAATAGGTACAGAAACAGAAGAAGCAGTTGACTGAGAATTAGGTTGAATAGAAGGCAATGGGATGGCAGGCTCTGTGTTAGGAACTCCTGTATCAGACAGCTGCATAGGTCCACTCACACCTATAACTTCAGCAGATTGAGCAATAGAATCAGGAGTTGATGTTAAATGTCCAGACCCAATTTCTCTCTGTAGCTGCATGCTCACTTCAGCAGTTCCAGAAGTTAGAGGAGGAACCAACACAGCCGTTGACTTATCTGAAGTTATTCTTTTTGGCCTTCCGCGGCCACGTTTGGCTGGGGGGGTTATCTCTTTGACTTGCTGCACTGGCAAACTCTCCACAGATGGCAATATTGGGGCCACAGATGGCAATATTGAGGCCACAGATGGCAATATTGGGGCCACAGATGGCAATATTGGGGCCACAGGAGGCACAGCTGCAGGTTGTGTGCTAGAAGTAGGTACAACAGAACTGGAAGTATTGGTTGGATAACTAATTTCTGCCACTGCTTTTCCTTTGGGTGAATCTGGAGATTCAACCTGACACAACTTCTCAAACTCCTCCTCTGTCCATTGTTCTTCATACGAACGTACCTATAAAAGTATGTGCAAGGTAATAAGCAACTAGATGGTATATCTAACTCACGAGGTAGTACATGAGTACATTTTCAATTTAATTTTGCTTTTCTTCTTATTTTTTAATGTCATTTCTCGGAGTGAAGTTGTGTACATCACAATTATACAACACAATTGCTCCTAGGGAAGACTCATATAATATGCATATGTAGATGATGCAGAGTAGACACATACAAAGCAAAAGGCAGGCAAGGAATACAATTGTCGGCACAATCCAAATGAATAAAATATAGAGACAAACCTCTCTCGCACGTTTTCCTCTGCCATAATGTTGAGTATCAAGGCCCCCAAGATATCCGCTCTTTCGCTTTACACCATTAGATTCTACCTCACCCTTAGGCACATCAGATATCTTCATTGCTTCATAAAAAAGTTTCAGGTCATCATCAGTGACAAGACGAGAAGGAAGGGGAGGAATGAGATCGGTGCCATCATTTGCCTGTCCAAGCACCAATTTCTTCCAAGTAGCCTGCAAAATATTTTTTCCGAGCTCCATATAAGATTCTCCATCATACAAATAGCAAAAATAAAGCAACATTTATGTTTATGCTGATAGAAAGTCCAAGGAAATACTCAACACCATACCAACTCATCTTCCTTCCTTTTTTTGTCAACAGCCTCAAACACATCTAACTCTGTTTCACTGCCAAAAAAGACAACATCTCTGTCAAATCTTTTTATCTTTCTTCTCTTCTTTGACACAGAATTTGAGTGGAAGAACCAAGGGGGAGAAGACTGAATTATTATTTTTACGACAATATAGAATGGATATAAGAAGTTATCAATGCAATCACAGAATTGACAAATCAACACTTGTAATACTAAGAGACTATCAACAATCAAAGCCAGTACAATAGCACCATGCAGTTAACATGACAATCTGTGACTTAAATCAGCGATGGAGGACTAGGTAGAATGCCAAAATGACAATAATACATCAGGAACCCTTTCCTATAATCAATCGAATAGGAGGCAGTAAAGAGAGACACAGCTTTCCAGGATTTACATTATTTCCTACTATACCCACCAAGTTGTCATTGTTCAAAATTGACAAAAATTCAAATACATGTGAAAGTAGAAATAGAAACTCCCAATACTCTTACTCATAAAATAAGCAGACAGATCAAGTCATGAATAGACAAACAGAGGATGAAAGCACCAAAAAACCATGTACCTGCGGGCTAAGATATCATTTAGAGCATCATCATCCAAGACAGGTGCAGCTTCTTCTTTCTTACACTCACGCAGGAGGGATTCCAAGTATTCTCTTCGATCTTCAGCACTGCAATAAATACAGACAAGAAAATTCAGAGCTGATTCAAAATCTTTGTAATGATCTAAAAGTGAAAAATATCATGACATTGCCAACCTTGTATTATTGTCAAAAAAACCAGCAGTAATGCTCTGATTAGCAACCCCAAGTTTGTGCTCAGCTGAAGCTCTGACTTGTTCTTCAACAGTTTGAACCTTGTTAGATTGTAAGCAGAAAAAGAAACTTTAGCCAACATGATAATATGGCACTACATTTAATTGAATAGGATTAACACCTAAAAAAGCTACCATCAATATTTACCAAACAATTAAGCAGGCAAGCTAAACATGGGGGAAAAGCCAAACACATTTTGCAAGATAAACAACACTCCTCATCCCCCTCCCCACCACACAACATGGTATGAAAGTTACACAATACAAACACCATACTTGAATATATATATATATATATATATATATATATATATATATATATATTCTTAGTTCTCACCATGGAGTAAGGAGCATATCTATCTCCAATATAGCAGATTGTTTTAAAACCAACAGCTTGTGATACTTGGGACCGGATACCTTAACTAAATTTCCTTGAACTTACTCTCTTTCATAATAGTTTTTTCTACCTAGAAAAAATTCATGTGGCTAAAATGTAGCATATATGCAATTATATCAACTATAGTCCCATCAATGAAAAATCATAATTTAAAGGGGGAAAAAGAACTAACTGTTTCGAAGCGAAGAACCAGAACTTCCCTCTTTTGACCAATTCTATGAGCCCTTGCCTGGGCTTGCAGATCAACCTGAAAATATATCAACAAACAAAGAAACTAAAAATAATCAGCGACAAAAGCAAACAATTTTAAGTAGAAAATCATATAAAAGAAATTTCATTGCCTGTGGATTCCAGTCAGTGTCAAACAAGATCACTGTATCCGCAGCTTGAAGATTCACTCCAACACCACCAGCTCGAATGCTTGTAACATACAATACATATATGTCAGACTCAGCAATACTAAAGATACTATCACATGAAAATAACCAAAAACACCCCATGAATTACCCTGATTTGTTGTGTCCTTGAGATTATATCTAAAAATCATGAAATAAAATGTGGCAGAAAAATCATCAAACACATTCCAAAACAGTTAAGAGATATAAAATATAAAACCATTAGTGTGGCATTCACTTTACAGCTTAAGTGAATGCCACATAAGCCCATTACTTGTCCCTTGTGGATCGAAGGCAAATCTTAGCCCATTTTCACTCTCCTTTGTTGTCCCCAACTTTTGAGTGTTTCCGCATTAGGCTACTAAATTTGGCCCACCACTCTCTATCCCCTTAGGGCTCGTTTGGTGGACAGGATAGGATAAGGACAGATATGATAAGAGAGTTGGATAAGAATAGGATAGGATATAGACAGGATAAGCATATATCATATCCTGTGTTTGATATACACTGAATTCGTAATCTGATAGGATTATATTATCCTATCATATGTTTGAAGTGGATCAGATAGTGTCAGGATATGATTAAAATAGGCAAAAATACCCGCATAATTTTATATACTTTTTTTTTTAGTTTTTTTTGTGTAGCATTCATTGTCCCATCAAGACGCAGAATTTTGAAACCAGCTGTTGTATGTTGATCCCTCGTTTCTGTCAGAAGTTTAGATTATTAAAATAACATCTTGCGAAATTGTGAAAATACAACTGATTTTGCAGCTCTATGTCGATCCCTCGTTTCTGTAAGAAGTTTTATCAGAGCAAAGGTTTTGGAAGATAACCTTTTCTATGATGAGCATGATGTAAAATTCTATTTTTAATTATTCAAAATATCTAAAATACATGAAAATATGGTTGAATCATTTTAACAAACAGGTTCCAGAAACCCAGGCTTATAATCAAACCAAATAATATGATACAAATTAAATGATAATCCAATGTAAATTTTTTAGAACAGTTTCCAACCAATCGGAGATAATATGACTTTGGTATTTACCACCAACCACCGCAGATCTGATCGGCAATCCCGCCGCCGCAGCGGAAAAGGTGGTGGGCACCGGAGGCAGAGAAGACATTGCAACAAAAAGAATTTGTTGTTGTGTCCTTGGCGACGTTGTTGGTGGCGTCCTCCTTGCCAGAAATAAGCTGTTCAGGGAGGAAGAATGGGGTAGAAGAAGAAGAATGGGACAATTTTGGAATAAAAGAATTTTGTTTTCTTATCCTATCTGTTCCAATTGTAATCCATGGTCCCCCGTAAGATAGTTTATCATGTTGTCAATAGGATAAAATGAGTGAACTTGATAAAATTATCCTACCCTTTAGGATCACCAAACAAATGATAAAGATAGGATATGATAAACTATCCTATCATACTGGTCTTATCTGGTGCACCAAACAGGCCCTTATTTGCTTGCAGCCGAGTTTGCCAATCCCTATTTTCTAAAACGAGTCGCCATTAAATCCATTTTCTAGCCCGCCTCCCACATGACATGTACCTGCTGTTTCCCAGTTTTGAACGTTCTTCTCCTTCATGCATTTTGTTAACACCACCATCATTTGCTCCAAATCATCAATGAGATGGAGGTGCTCCCTTTTCATTATAGTTTCTGGTTCTTTAGACAGAATGGAAGACCCATCTTCGTCTCCTATTTTGCACTCTTCTTCTTCTTCTTTTTTTGCTTCTTCTTTGTTGATTTCTTCTTCTGCTCCTTCTTTTCCTTTTCCTTTTTCTTCTTTGTTCACCTTTTCCTCTTCGATTTTTGCCTCTTCTTCTTCATCTTCTTTTTCCTCTGTTTCTTTGATTCTTTGTTCGTGTGTATGACTCTGTTCAGCCACAGCATGAAGACGGATCTCTGCTCTGATTTTCTCTTTCAAAACCATGAGCTCTACTCTCCTCTTTCTCTCCTCTTCTTGTGGGTTCGTTCCATCTCTCGACATTGTGCCTCCCAAATTACCGTTCTCTTCTCTAGTTCCCGCATAAGATCACGTTCGAGATCCTTCATCCCTTCGACCTAGTCGTTCTAGAAAATCTAGAACTGTTTCTCTTAGTTGACGAACAGACTCTTCTATTTTCCCCATCTTTTCTTCCATTCATCCTATTCGTCGCTCCACAACTTACAATTTGTTTCTCCATTTTTTCTTTTAAGGACCAGAAGCACCTCCAGGATCGAAGATACTCTGCTACCAATTTGATGGAACCCAAATTTATTAATATGAAAACAGAGATGGAGACAAGCTCCTTACAAACACAAAAACCAAATAGAACCAACACACCTAGAATCCAAGAGATCCCAAATATTCACTTAATTAATACTTACCTCAGTACACACACTCCCTCTCCTTTTATCCTATTCTCTAAGAATATTCTAGAACAATTTTCTAACTAACTTCCTAAGCCCCTCACCACTTTTAGGCCCATCAAGTTTTTAGATTGAACTGGTTCTTTACATGGTATCAGATCTTACGTGTCTTGCCAGCATTAGAACCAGGACCACTGTGGAATTGCTCTCCAACAATAACATATCGGGCAACAATTAACATCAAGGAGTATCTAGAAGCACAACAAAGTAGGCATACACAAATCTTGAAAGTACTATATTAGTATGCAGGAGCAGATACCAATTATAAACACTAGGAACCTTTTAATTGAAAAGCACCAAGTTTTCATTTTTGGCCTCTGGAGCAACTCAATAATTTCCAGATTTCAGATTTCGAAGGCAATGTACAAACGGTTGTTGAAGTTTTCTACATTCTTCAACTCTGACTGTTTTCATGAATGTTCAATTAGTTACCTATATTTATATTAATCATCCAAATCCTTAACTCATAAGCCGTTTAAATTTGAGGTTCCAGTTTGCCAAGAGTCCTTACATTTTCCTTATTAGGGCTGTCACAATATAAATCTTGCCACTACCAACAGTCAGTTAAGATTAATATCAGGTAAGTAACATGTGACACACCCAGAAATGGATTCTGAGTTTTCAGAGAGATTGGAAAATTGAGAAAAGGAAGAATATTTTGGTAGTGTTTATTAAATTACAAACTAAGAACCTGAGAAAAGAATTCTCCTTCCAAGGGTTCCCCTTCACAAAGAGTTGCCTCTTTCACAACAGAGCCTTTGGTCAGTTCTTAGAATTGCTTGTGCCTATTTACAAAAACATGGGAAATATTCAGAACTATCCTAACTACAGAGGCATTAAGCTATTAGCCATAATATGAAGTTGTGGGAGAGTTATTGAACATCAATTGAGAAGAGAGACCAAGGTCTCTGCAAAATCATTTTGAGTTTATATCAAGAAGATGTACCATGGAGGCCATTTTCTTGTTACGACAATTAATGGAAAGATACCAAAAAAGAAGAAGGACTTACATAAAGTGTTTAGAGATCTTGAGAAGGCGTATGATAAGGTTCCAAGAAAGGTTCTATGGTGGGTTATTGAAAAGAAAAAAGTACCACCAAAATATGTAGAGGCAATCTAGGATATATATGATGGTGTTACTAATGTATGAAAGCTTGCAATGGAACATCAAGTTATTTTCCTATCACGATAGGTGTACACCAAGGCTTTATTCTAAGTCCTTATCTCTTTGCTCTAGTTATGAATAAAAGCTAACAAAAGATATCCAAGAGGAAGTGCCATGGTATATGCATTTTACAGATGATATTGTGCTTATAGATGCAACCAAGGTTGTTCGTTGTTGTTAACAGAAAACTAGAATTGTGGAGAAGCACACACCTTGGAGTCTAAAGGATTTATGCTAAGCCAAAGCAAGACTGAGTATATGAAGTGTAAGTTCACTCCGACAAGAGATGCAGATTAAGATTTCGTCCATCTGCTTAGACAAGAAGTACTCAAGAAATATGCTTTCAGATATCTGAAATCAATTTTCCAAAATGGTGAAGAGATTGATAAGAATGTAAATCATAGAATCAGAATAGGGTGAATGAAATGACGTAGCGCATCGAGGGTTTTGTCTAATCGCAAGATTTCCCTTAGGCTAAAAGGAAAATTCTATAGAATAGCGTTGGCCAGCACATAAGCAAAATGAGCATAAAATAGGAGTAGCTGGGGAGTAAGGATGTTAAGGTAGATGTGCGGTCATACCAGGATGAATAAGATAAGAAGTGAAGATATTCAATGAAAGTTAGGAGTAGTACCTGTTGTTAAAAAGATGAGAAAACATAGATTAAAGTGGTTTGGGTACATAATGTGAAGACCCCTAGATGCTCCCATAAGAACAAAACTTTGTTACCAATAACTTGACAAAGAGGGAAAATGGGTGAGTAAAATAAGATTTAATGGAGTGGGATAGATTGGTGGACGATGTGTCTTAGTACAGATTGAAGGAAAGCTATTTGCATTGTGGAGGGTTAGACATGTTTTTCTTATGCTCCAGATGGTCCCTTTTTAATCATTTTCCCCTATATCTCCCTTTGTTTCTTTCTGTACCTCTCCTTTTTTCTTTTACTACTCTTTTTTCCTCTCAATTTTTTTTCTCTCATTTATTTATTTATGTATTTTCTTCTTTTTTCTTTATTTTTATCTCTCTATTTCTTTAATTTTTTATTTTTACTTTCTTATTGTTTTCTTTTTGTCCTCTTATGAATCTTTATTTTAACTTTATTTTAATTTATTTTTCTTTTTTAATTATTTATTGTTACTTTTTAATGTCTAGTGTTATACAATATATATATATAGATTTTATTTTTATCCTTTTTTCCTCAATCTTTTCATACTTTTCATTTGAGTTCATCTATCACCAATCCCAACTAGTTTGGGATAAAGGTATTGTTGATATTGAAAAGTCCAATCAATACCATCATCACTCTTAAAGCTCAACCTTGTCCCCAAGGTATGAATTTGGAAACTGCGTGCTGATTTTCTCACTCCCAAGCCTCAACCTGCACGATTTCCCCGTCTTCACCTAATTGCTCGTCTTTCTACTATGGATATTGGTGCATCGATCGAAATATTTGGCCACAATGGAAACAACACCCGTTTTTTTCGTCGTCTAACATACTTTTGATAAAGAAGCTGCCGAACTCCTCAATTTCTCAATGGATAGTTGCTACTGCCGTTGTCTTTGTTGTTTGCCTAATTCAGAGTTTCATTGCCTCCTAGCATGCCCTTTTTAATAATGGTTAGGCCTGAGACACTCCTTAGTAGGTCCGAAGATGCTAATCCATGAATCAGACTGGATGAGCCCATTTGAGCTACCCCTATTGGTCCCATTCCCGTGAATTGCTCAATTAGAGTGTTGCTTGAAACCCAACATCGCAACCCAAAATTGTTACTTGGTGCAAAGTCTCTTGTCACTCTTTTCTTCCTCCACGTCTCCAATGACGCTTCAAGTGGCATAAATCTCTTCCTTCACATCTTGTGATGTCTTTGGGGTCATGTGTACTGACCAAGCACTTCAAGTCTTGTTTCAGTCCTCCTAAGAAAAAACCTAGCAACTACTACTTTGTCACAATCGAAGCCTAAGCCATCAAGACATCAAACTCTAAAATGTACTCCTCCATGGTAACTGACCATATGAATGATACCAACCTCTCACATACATACCCAAGCCTTTGTCTGCCAAATCTTTGAATAAATGCTTTCATGAGCCTTTCCCATGTCAGCTTAGGCGTCAGTCTTCACAAGAACCGGAACCAGTGTAACCGCAACACCATCCATACAATTAAGTGCTATGTATACTTACTGAGACAGGTTGATTCTTTGAACATCAAAATTTCTTGGCCCTAGCTATCCAACCCAAGGGGTCCTGACCCTCAAAAGTGGGTAACTCAACCTTCTTTCACCAAGAAGGCAATGTGTTAGAGCTCCACTACCCTCCAAGTTGTGTTATCCCATTTCAGTCACATGCTATGCTACGTTGCTTTTTCACAAGTAGTGATCCCTCCGATTCCCGCAACAATTTTCTTGATTTCAGATAGTTGCGAACCATGATCGCTGGCCACTTTGTTTAAGAATTTTACTAAATGCTCAAAGCTTCAATCTGTGATTCCAACTCCCTTCAATTCAACAAATCCGACAAGTCAGCTCAAATTGCTAAACCCAAAAATGGGTTATTGAATTACAAACTAAGAACCTAAGGAGAAAATTCTCCTTCCAAGGGTTTCCCCTTCACAAAGAATTGCCTTCCACAACAGAGCCTTTCCTCAATTCTCAAATCTAAATTCCCGAATGCCTATCCCTACCTTGTTCCTGCTATATAAGCCTAAACCTCGGTTCCTAACTACTGATAGAAGTTACCAATCCCCTTGGTAGATTCTAATTATAACTAACAAATCAGATATCCAATTATCTAACTAACTTGATCGCATTCTAATTTATTCTTCCAGATCCTATCAATGTAAGTGTTTGACTGTCAGCTAATATGCAAAAAACAAGATGAACATCGTTTACATTCTGAAATGTGTCAGTTGCTTGATGCTAGACAAAAAAAAAGATCTAAAGTTCATTGCATAATTCTTATAATAAAACATAGATTATGATTCAGACCAAGCTACCTTGGTTTTCCAAATGAACGTTTAAACAGATGTCAAGATGGGAGTTCAGCCAAATTTCATGGAAACCAAACCCCAAAAATATAGAATCTATCTCTTCTCCCCAGTCCAATGTTTTAATTGACTATTTCAAAGCCACACCTAGTACTCTAATAGAAGTTAAAATTACCTGAGTAAGAAAATAAAATATGGTGAACCAGGTTTGTTAAATAGTTCAATTAGGGCACCACGATCACTTCCTGATGTATGCCCATCCAATCGGAGGTACCGATATTGTTTTAAGGTTAAGTATTCCTCCATAACATCCAGAAGCCTAGTCATTGTCGAAAAGAAAAGAACCTGTCAAAGCAAAGACAGTGCGATATCAAACATCAACGGTTAAGTTTTCAAAATAAACTGCCAAACACACAGCATCTGAAGCAGCAACTAGACAAATAAATCTTAACCAAATCTTGAACAAACAGAAGCACAATAAATAAGTTTACTAAATATCTTTCTCACAGATATATTAAGTTATGTCAATATTGACATGAAAGAAATCAAATGTAGTAATCCAGCAAGGCGGCAGCAATTATGTAGGATGTGTCATACCCGGTGATCTGTTGCCTTCAATTTAGGTAATAAACGATCCAACATCTCAAGCTTGCCACAAAGTCTAATAATGGGTGGTAGATAATGCTTAGGTATATAGTTATCCACCTACAAAAGGCAAAAATCATTGTAGCATACCCCAAAATAAAAATAACAAATAAAAAAATACAAACAGAACAACAGATATTGAATCACATATTGAATAAATGAAGTTGACTTGTTAAAACAGATTTAATACACCCACTTTGAAAGTGCAAGTTATGGCCTATGCAGAGAGTTTTATTACTTTTTCGCTGCACATTGAAATTAGAAAGTGATTAAAATTGAAAACTAGACAAACCTTAGGTTTTAAGCAGATGTGCAAACATAAAATAGGAAGAAAATAAATAAATATGAAATTTAATGGGGTTCAACCTACCCCAAATGTATAGGCCTACGTTCACACAATTCACTATGAGCAATGAAGATTACAAGGAGTAGCCACTCAAGACACAACCCTAATCCCAATAAGCATAAACCCTCACTCTTGCAGGAATTTTTGTTCAATCAACAAGTCTCTATTTCATATATTCAAAGCCTCCACTTCCCCCCACAAAGCTCATTGAAAATTCCTTGTCAGGTCGCAATAGGAGCTGTTCTGGCTGGGTCACAAGTGAGGGCAAGCACATAATAAAAAACAAGCACTTTATAGTTTATAAATTATACCAAATTGTTTTTGTTCTTTACAATATTTCTTTTTGTCAAGTTTTGCCAAATTAGAAAATGATCCTGTTGACAATGTGATAGAGATCAACAATTCGTAACCAGAAATAACCAACAGAAGGAAAATTTAATACTGAGATGGAAACTTAATACAATATCCACTCGTATACACCACAACAACAGTAATTGAACAATTACAGAGCAGGACTGAAATGTTAGGGAAAATACAGGAATCTGAAGGGAGAAAAACTCAGATAGCCTAGAGCACTTAGAGAGGTTCTGGCCTCTTCTAATCCCAGCCCAAACCTAAGATTTCAGATAGCCAACTTTCGCTGCCCCACTGCCTACTTAACCAGCATTCTTCCCCCCAAACCCCAAGTCTCTAACTTAATTCCATTCAACAGCTATAACCTCTGGAATATTCTTCTTTAACAAGCTTCGTTGCTGATTCAGCATAAGTTCTAGCCTTTAAATTTCCTATGCATATACACCTTAAGGCGGGAATCCATATCATGATGCTTCATAATTCATATAACAGAACACTGCGTTTTTCATCTGAGTGTCACATTAAAAACAAAAGCATCACACTGTAATTTAAATCTCACGAAATCCCTTTTCTCAGTGAGTTGGAGTTAAAATCATAATTCAATTCTCACAAAATACATTCATGTCAGATAAGAACCATAAACAAGATAGGAAGATACCTCCTCTGCATGAAGCTGGCTGAGATATGGATGATTGCATATATTGCGAAGCTCCATGACAGAGTTGTGTACTGATCGAGCCTAACAATTGAGAATTTCAATTAGACCACCAGAGTAATTACATATATGTATACTGCAAAGAGAAGCTACTTTATTCAAAAGGAAAAGAAGGATGTAAATTCTTACTACATTTTCAAAAGGGCAATAAAAAAATCATTCAACACAGAACAGAAATTTTTAGAAAGGATACCCTTGAAGAGCCAATAGAACCGAGATTTTCTTCCACCCTCTTCATCAAAAGTTTTTGATAAGAAGAAGCTTCACATCTTACAAGTCTCTCAATCTTCTCCGGCAGCTGATTTTCAACCTACAATAAATTGAAAATGCAAGAACAGTAAGGCATGATGATGATTTTCGAAGCTAATATCAGTAAGAAAGACAAACTATATTACACTTTACAAAAATTATATTTACAAGTCATACAAGTGAAGAAGAATAAAGATTCAGGACAGATAAGGGGTCAAGAAGGGAAATGCATCAGATGACTTGAATAACGGAGAACGGGTTTTCCAAGTATAAAAAAGCCCTCAATCTTACAGATTGAATATCAATACTATATTACATTCATCAAACTCTGACAACTTTAAAAAATTCAATTTTGAAAACATTTTATGTTGCCTAACATCATATTTCTTAACGTAAGCACGGACTGCTGATTGCCAAACATGTCTCGGCCAGTAAAAAGCAATAGGACACTGCCAACTTTTTGGGAGTGTGCATGAACAAGAACAAACACAGAAATCAAGACCTCAACTCCATGAAGCGGCATATATTGAGATAAACATATTATATATAAAAATTACTCTTAATTTTATTTCACACTGTTAAGAACAAACTATTTAATTATATAGGTTGAAACTAAAGAAAGTTAGGTAGGGAAGGAAGAAAAAGGAGAATGAAGACAGAGTGATACTGATTGGCTACGACTGATCTGATACAAAAGACAAAGCAATAACCCCTATTAATACAAATACTAGGCTTCTAATTATAATTAAATATGGAAACAAATCATAAAATATAAGGAAATATGGAAACCAATCATGAGAGATCATCTAAGATACTCTTTAACTATTTAAGATATAATCATTATAGTATGATATATCCTCTAATATTCTAGCAATAAGAATCAAAACAAGAATCATAAACCACGCAAGTTTATTAATAAGAATAAACTATGGTCATAGTATACAGTAAACTCATGAGGATTAGGAACTAAGCTTATTGAGCTTAAAGTTTAGTATTAAAAAACCTTGTGCTTCAGCCTCCGCAGTACAAATGGCCTCAGAACTTGGTGCAGACGATTTATGATCAAGAGATTCTCCTCCTCAGACAGTAAAGCCTATTTACAAATAGAAAATAACAAAATAAATACACAAAATTCAATAAAATTAACAATGAACTCAAGACTGTGTGACGATAATACATACGAATAGAAACGATCCAAAACTTACTTCATCGGGTGAGTTATCTCCAGTACTCTCAAAGGGCTTGTTAAACCATTGAGAGAAGTCCTCCGAAGAATTGAATATGTTTGGTAACAAAAAGTTAAGCAGTGCCCATAGCTCTTCAAGATTGTTCTGCATGTAGATTAAAGAAATCAGCAGTCACATAACATCAACGTTACAGAAATAAGGACAAAAATAAAACAAAGGCATGAGCCTGCAGTAAGGGCCAAGCAGAACTTCCGTTATTCCCAAGAAAAGGCTCGTCATAAAAAAATTCCCATGGTATAAGCAGAAATCCAAAGTAAACTGCAATGAAAGCCACAAGAAAGAAAAACTAAAAGAAGAAGGGGGGGGGGGACCTGCAATGGTGTTCCAGTTAACAGCAATCTGTGAGAGCTCTGATAGTGTTTCAATTCAGCATTCAATTTGCAAGATGCATTCTTTATGCGGTGGCCTTCATCAATTATTATATAGTGCCAATGTATTTTGCTCAGCTTCGGTCTATCATGCTTGTTCATCAGATATTCATACGTAGTCAAAAGGACATTAAATTTCTGGTGAACAATCCTTTCCCTAAAATATTAAAAACCGATTAGCAATATACACCAAGACAAGAGCATCAAACAGATGAAGGGGGTTGATATCCTAAATTCCCATTACTTGAATAACCGACGCCTCTCCTCTGGTGGTCCAGCATAGACAATTTTATTAACACCAGTAGCCCAAAAGTTTATCTCTGACTCCCAACCAGGTAGAACTGAAGAGGGCACGACCACAAGAAAGGGTCCTCTATCATTTTTTGTTTCCATCAGGTAGCAAATTAGAGAAATTACCTATAAAATAAAAGGCCCATTAGGATAATATAACACAAAAGTTCTTCAGATCTTTTAGTGCAAAATATGCTCCATTATCTTAGCAAAATAACCCATTTTTCTTCCCATGTTCCAGATGATCGCATTTTAGTTTTTTCCCCTTTATTTCTATTTCTTTCCTTATTTCTTTTTTTCTCTCAAATCTTTCTTCTCTTTTGTATTTATTTATGTATTTTCTTTTTTTTAATCTATTTTTTATCTCTCTATTTCTTTATTTTTACTTTCCTATTCTTTTTGTCCTCTTATGCATCTTTATTTTCACTTTATTTTAATTTATTTTTTCTTTTAATTGTTTATTGCTATTTTTTTAATGAATGTGTATATATATATATATTAAGTTTTATTTTTATCCTTTATTCCTCAATCTTTTCGTACTTCTCATTTGGGTCATCTACTACTGATCCCAACTTGTTTGGAATAAAGGCAGTGTTCATAGTGATGTTGATCTTAGCATGTATACATGCACTGTAAAAAAATTGTAAAACCCCAAAAAACACACATTATCCAGAAGGGATAAAGATAGTAAATGACAGTATGACACACTACCAAAAATGCAGATTATGAAAAAAAGACAAAAGGGAACAAAACAGGAATCTATCTAAGTAATAAGTTTCTCAGTTAACAACATTATTACCTGAACCGTTTTACCAAGTCCCATTTCATCAGCAAGGATTCCATTCAAATGATTGTTGTATAGGGAAACCAGCCACCTCAGACCATTCATTTGATATCTAAGGATAAAAATTGCAATCACGAAGAAAGTAAGTCAGCCGACCCAAAAAATAAAAAATAAAAGAAATGCAAGTCCAAACTCCTTGATTGTCAAACAAGGTTACTTAAGGAAACTGGAATGAAGAATGTATAGGGAGAAGAATAAAATCCCCCATTGAGCCAAAGATGATGTAGATAACCCTAACACTCAACAAGATGCAATCAAAAGACTTGAATATACGTTGCAAGACACAAACACGTATCAACTAAATTACATGCAAAAATATAAAAAAGGCAAATATTTAACATACTCCCTCAATTTTCCGCCATGCAAACAAGATGGCTGCTCTGAAATGCTCTCCTTTATGCTGCAGAAGAAAAAAAAATTGATTACAATGAAGCAAGAGGATATGTACTCATACCAAAATTCAAAGAGATATTTAGATGGATTGAATTGAAAGAAGGCGAGCCTAGAGGCTTTTTGACCCTTTTGCCTTTAATTAAAATAACAATTACCGCTTTGCCCTCGTACCAAAACATAACATCAATCTGTCCCTATTTGACCGTTGACCGAGTTATGTACTCGAGTATAGGGGTTGATACTCAAGTATATTGCATGAAACAGTAAATACTTGGGTACACAGGTGATACTCGAGTATTGTTCGTGATATGTGTTTTTATGAACATTTACTCGAGTGCATAGGTGGTGGACTCGAGTAAATGTTAATAAAAAACCAGATCGCGAAAAATACTCGAGTATTCAACCCAAGTGACTTGCAAGAGCTGGGATTTTTATAAAACCCTGACCGTTGACAAGACCAATTAATCGATTATACCAGCATACGGTAATCGATTATATAGTGAAATGAGGCTCATATCACACATTCTTAACCGTTGGCTGGACCAAGTAATCGATTACACTAGCATATGGCTTTGGAGGTATCACAACACCTATTTACATTACAAAATTTGGGAAATTTTACCATAAAACTTCGAAAGCCTATAACTTTTGAGTCGGGTGTCGAAATCAGATGCTTTTTTTTTATTTCATGTAAGTTTTCGAGAGCTACGCGTGACAAATACCCATAGGGGATTTGGTCAAACAAATTTCCTAAAAAATACTTCTTTGTGTCTCGTTTCATATATTTTGTCTTTATGAATGATGCTATTTGAATTTTTATTTTCCAACACTAACAAATAACCCTTCAGGAATTTTTTAGTGCCAGATCTCAAAAGGTTATTTGGAATCAAAAAAAAAAACACTTGATTTGGACCTTCGAGCCAAAAGTTATGGCCTTCCAAAGTTTTATGGTAAAAATTAATCATCATACTCGAGTAGACACCTGATTTACTCGAGTATGTTGGTTATGTACTCGAGTATGAGCGCCAGTCAACGGTTAAACAGAAGTAGATTGGTGTTACGTTTAGGGGAAAGGTCACATTTTTTAAATAGTTTAAAAAGGGGGGGCAAAGTGGTAAAAAAAAATTAAGGGGCACAATGGTCAAAAAGCCCGAGCCTAGAGCTGTTGTAAAGTTGCTCCTTTGTGACTGAAAAGTCATAGGTTCAAATCCGTGAAACAGCCTCTTTGTAAATATACAAGGATAAGAGTGTGTATACAAAGATTGCCCGCAACCCTACCCTCATTGGTTGGGGTTTAATGGGGAGTGATTTTATTTATGGATTAAATCAGTAGACCATGAACACTTTCATATATTTGAAACTAAAAATAAACCACTAACTCCCCAGTCAACAATGTTGTTCATCCTTTCATTAATAGCAAAATTATAAGATAAGCAGCTTACAATAGCAAGAAACCTTTTTTAAAAAGTACACAAGTGCAGAAACAATACCTGTGGGCCATCATATAATACTTCTCATTGCTTTCCATATAGTGCTGTAAAACAGAATTGGAGCAAATGAGTGACATATTTAAGATTTAAACTTAAAAAGGAGACGTGTGGAGGGAACTTGCCTTCGCCTGATCACTTTCATCCTCATTTTCTAAAGTTGTTTCACTATTCTCAAGAAAATTACTAGTTCCTGTCTCATCAACATCATGCCCAAAACGTCCTGCTGCAGTCTTTGCTTCCTGTAGCTTGGATCCAAGCTTTTGAAGATACTTCTCAGTCTCTTTAAGAAGTTGCTTTACACGATCTGATTTTGCATCCTAATGTACCATTGAAGATATATTAAGCATTCAAACTTCTACACAAGCCATGTATATATTTATATCTAATAAAAAAATAATCCAACCTGCACCATTCGAAGATAGCCCTCCACATCGTTTATTTTCAGTAAATTAATCTTTTCCCGCTGGATTCTATCAATCTTCTCACGATGAATACGTTCTTTTCTTTTATGGAACTCCTTCACATATCTATTGAAACCCTTCCACCTTTCCTTCTTGATTTTGAATACATCATCAAGTTTTTCTCTAAATTTCAAGCAATAAAGCAAGTTTTTGAGGCAAGGAGTACAAGGAACAGTGATCTATAATTATCTGCTATGCACAGGAAAAATTGAAGAGGTAGAAAAAACAAGTAGAAATGGACAGGAAGAGCACATACTTGTGAACTTCTATCTCACCGAAAAACTCCTTCTGCCTCTCACGAATCCGTTTCTGACGCTCTTCCTTCATTTTCTGCTCAAACTTTTCAAGTTGTTTGACCCTCCTACCATGCCTGTGTTTCTTAATTGATTTCAGATGTTCCATCTCAGTTGTAATCGGTTTGAAAAAATCATTCAGAAAATCACTGCCCACAATGGAAAAATATACTGTCAAACCGAGTATTGAAGAAGATAACACATTTATTCATATTAGAATGAGAATTACCTCCGGAGTCGACGTTGCAGCTCCAATAGTTGAAGTTTTTTTAACTCTATGACACTTTTTGTTTTGGCAGAGATATCTTCAGATGAACTCACACTTTCCTATATCACAGGAAATGAAGCACAGGCCATTATATTTATGCACATTTAATCATTACCAACCACATACCGTGTATGTTGGGTGCAAAATAAATTGATTTTGCATGGAGAATAAATTAAGCGCTAAACTCAATAAACTGGCAGTTAAAGTAAAACGTACCTTTAACTTGTGAAAACATATAGCCATTCTTTGCTTTGTTTTCTGCTGTTTATGCACCCAATTTTGCTCAAGTAGAAGCCTTTTTTTATGCTGATCCATAATCCATCTCTCTGACATCGTATATTTTGGAGAAGGTGGCAAATCAGCTGATACCAACATCTCATTCCCTTGCTCTGTAGCAAAAGAGATGCCACGCTTTGATGTATCATCAATCGGGCCTGTTTTAAACCCATCTGCAAGTTATTGCAATTAATATTCAGAAAGCCATGAATTATTGACATTTCAAATAATGCAGACAACATAAGCATCAAATAAACTGATGGCAATAAGATGGTTTTATTAAGCATGGCTTTCACCTGGAGAAACATGTTTTGTCATTATATTTCCATCCTTCATCATGCTTGCTCCATGAGGATCACTGTCAGTCCCTGGAACAGGTTTCCAGTGCTCTTTTAAAGAATAAGAAGTCATGTGATTAACAGGATTGTGATTCCGGGAACCACAATTCTTACCAACATTATGAAATTGACTAGGAATATTCTCTTTTCTCTCTACAGGCACCTCATGCTGAATAGTAGAGATCTGTGGAGGTCCCTTTGAAGCAATATTTTGACCAGCAAATCCCGTCCAGCTATTTGTGCCTACAACAGAAGGTTGGTTAGACCTTTCGGCCTGCAGATTACCATTGTCATCATCACCCAAATGATCATTAACAAGTACAGCACCCCTTGTACTTGAAGAATCTTGCTGCTGACATGAAGTGGCTGAAGAAGCTTGTGCAGCCATTCTCTCTTGAATTTGTCTTTCAACATCTCCTTTTTTTGTGGCTAGATGTTTCCTTTCTTCTGAAAGTATATGGATGTCAGAATGTAGGTTACCTTTGTCCTCTATCATTCTCGGGCTCTCAGTTCCCTTTGACAAAGAGTCAGCCTCCAGAATTTTTCCGGCAGAAGAGGACCCAGAAGGGTTTTTATCAGTCTGCCTCACATTGCTCGGACCTCCAAATGGTGTCATGACCCCAGATGTGCTACCTGGTTCATTAAAAGATTGTGATTTTACTTTATCATCAATAAGCTCTTTGCAAGAACCATTTGTATTACTATCACATTGCTCACTAGTTAGTCAGCGAAGATCTTTAATATGTTAAATAAAAAATAAACATCAGTCACCTTCTCTAGAAAAGGCGGCTCCAAGAGCAATTTCAAGATGTAGTTGCTTTGGCACTAAACCATTTCTGCACATTGAACAACAAATTTTCACAACATAACTAGATACAAGTCAAGTTCACTTTTTATATACAAAAGGTGGTAGCAAAACTATGCCTACCTAAATGCTAGGAAAACAAGGCACTGAGCTCGAAGCTGTTTTAACTGTTGTTCTTTGAATGGCATGGCAGATGACGCAGGCGCAGCAGAAACAGTGGATTTTCCTGTATCTCTAGGAGGAACACCTTGTCTAAGCATAGTCATGTCTGAGCTGCTATTTTGCCTCCCAATCTGTCAATAAAATTATCTGGTCAAGCAATCAAGTTCGCTAATATAAAAGCCACATAGTCAAAAAAGAATACCAGAAGTAGAATAAGTTTTAATTAAAGTCAACTAAAGTTAGATGAGTACAGCAAGGAGAAAGAAAATAAAGCTTAGAGACAACCAGAAGTAAAAATTAGTTGTACCTGAGCTATTTTCTGTCCATCAGCTGAAGTAGTCGAACTTCCCCCATCACGCTCAAGCGCACCACCACATTGCATTGAACTTGTCAGAGATGCACTAGCAGGAACCTCCATCCCTTCATGAGCCTTAGCATAAGCACCTGAAATTCAGTATAGACTTTTTTAATTAATAACTGTGGGCAGGAAACTCATATTATAGTTTTTTTTTCTTTGATAACATTTAATTCTAAGGTAGTGTTTGGTTCGGGAGAAATTTTTTTTTACTAGGGAAATGTAATTGATAGGGAAATGGTTGGAAAGTGAGTTTGGTAGGAAAATGTAAAAAAAGTTGTTTGGTTGACCCAAATATTACCAGGAAAATTTATTTAAATATGCAAAATCTATGTTCGGGAGAAACTTTGCACCTGTTTTTTCACTTCCCCAGTTATCTCAAAATACCACATCTCAAGTGGTATTCTGTAACAGTGAATTTCATCCAAAAATCAACACAAAAGTCATTTTCCCATCTATCCTATTTGCCTGGTATTTTTTGAAAAAAACCTGAACCAAACGTGGTATTTTCCAATATCCACTTACACTCTCCCATCAATCCCAAAATAAACCTTCAAACAAACACTGCCTAAGTAAAAATTGATATTCCCCAAGTCATTCTTTCCATAATTGATCATTGGTAGAAATATTCATATAGAACAAGAAGTATCCAACGGCGTATAACACTCGAGAATAATTTATGGACACCCATGACAGAAATAAATACCACTGTTAAAAAAACACTCCATTCAAATGAATTATTCCATTCCCAGGGGTTATATCTACACATAAACTCGTCCAGAAAGTCTTCTCTCAAACTTCACCACAAAAAATATAAGGGCATTGGCATTGAGGTATAAAGATTCCAAATTGTTTCAAGTTCTAAAACCCAGAGGCATAGTTTAATCAAATTATATCATGAATCATGCTTGAAAAATTTCCAAATCCCTTACTTGAGCCAAGGGATGGAGGTATTAACTGCTGCATTGGAATTTCTGCCATCATATTACCAGGAACAACATTAGAAGTAAACTGGGGGAACTGAGATTTTTCAAAAGGTAATCCAGCTTTATTTTGATTCCATACACCTCTAATCTCATGGGTAGAAGGTAAGGAACCACCTTGCTGCTTTCCTGGAGCAATGTGTGCAGAGGAAACTTCCATGTCTTCTGGATACTTTGTATTTGCAGCTCGCACCATTGGATTGCCAATCTTTGTCAAATCAGCTTGCTTTGCCAATAAATGATGACCTTCTTGGTTTGTCCTGAGCATTGATCTCATGCTGCCAGACAATGTCGAAATATTCTCCATTTGACTGTTACTTGGAACCACATTAAAGTTGGTCAGTTCACCACTTTTAACTGGAAGACCATCTGATGGTTCCGCCTTGGTAATTTTACCCTTCCTTGAATTAACAAAAGTATTGCGAGCATCCAGTTGAGAAGGACTGTCAACATGCAGTTCCACAGGTGATGATGTATCTCCCCTCTTTCTCTTTGTGGTAGCTTTCTTACCATCCTTTTTATTCACCTGTTTGTCCCAATTCGAATTATCACGTCTATCTTGTGACTGAGAGTTAGCAGACCTAGAATCCAAACTAGATGGACTTCCTTGATCAAAAGACTGACTACTCCTCTGAGCCACGGATCCTTGATAATAATCAGGTGCTCCACCACTTGGGGCAACTGGTGGCCGGCCAGAAACAAAGGGGTCCATTTTGGACATCTCATTTTCAGCCAAACCCACTCTGGAATCCTTTGCAACACCCACTGCCTGCGAAGAAGATCCTGCATAAATTACAAAACAACGATATCAAAACCACTGAAAAACAATCAAAAAAATTCTTTATGAAATATGCAAGTGTGCATTATTACCCATTTGAGGACCACCGGTCAAAGGAAGGCGTGATGACTTCAATGCTTCAATATCAAGACCATGTTGGTTTATGACAGTCTCCATTGCCCTATAACAGACAACATTAAGTCAGAAGAAACAGAAGTAAGCATGAAACCGAAGATTCAATCAGATTACCAACACTAACAAACTAAGATCTGTGCAAAGAATGATAGGTATAATCTTCACTACAATCATTAAAGCACCAAAAAGAAAACTAAGTCTACAAGATGAGCCTCATCAATACCTTGAGAATTAAGTTTACCATCCATTTTCAATGTCAATAAAACAAGGTAATCACATGGGAAGTAGACATCTGCTTCAAGCATATTATTCAAGCAAAATTACACAATGCAACTAAACAAGTCCGACCTTTTTACTGTTTGGTAAGAGGCTCCAAAGCCCAACAAATACTCATCATCATTCACCAAACCACACATGATGCAACTAAATAAATCATTCCCATTAATATTTCATTTCCCTTCACTAGCATGGAAATGCTAGTTAATATCTTAAGTACCATGAAAGAAGGAGTTCAAAAGTAACCTTATGTTGTTATGAACACAGTCAGTATCAATTTTTCAATTTTAATAGTTTAGCTCACTGCTTAAAGCAGGGCTTAATAATTGAATAACTATACATAAAGAGAGTTTGAGTGCTAAGTTGCGGGTATTTTACCTTGATATCACTTGATATGGCATTGAATGTTCCTTCCCACTTGATTTCATATGTTGTAGTATCTGAAATACTCAAAATTAATTGTAAGTATACCTTGTCTTATATGAAGAGTAAAAGATCAATTAAAGAATTTCCTTTCAAGAGAAAACAACACCAACCACATAGAGTTTAGTAGCCAACTTGGCTGGCTCATCTTTTGAATCTTGAATGAGTTTATGCAGAAACTTTGCTGCCTCCAACTCAACATTTTGTGAAGACGCCATCTCATTTGAACTGCACAAGTAAAATATTCCGATATCAAGATAAACTCAGACCAGCTGGAAATTTCAGGATAGTCAATGTGTAAAATTAAGCTAATTATGCGAACCAAATTACAATGATCGTATGACCACCAAACTCAACATAAAGACATAACAGAATCCCAATGCAAATAGCACCAGGATAAACCCAAGCAAGCTTTTATGTCAACCTCCAGAAAAGAAAAGGAAAAAAAAAATAACTAAGTGAATACATGAAACAACAGGCGAGTTTTTAGTATCTGAGACCGCAATCAAAAGATATATAACCATATCAAGGAATATATCCGCTGGGGAAAACAAATACAGCTCCGAACTCTCTACCTTCTCCCTTGTACCCTACCTTACGAAATAATAGGCATTTATCCCTAAATCTATCATCCTAAAAATCAACCCAATTTTTTTTTCATAAAACCCGAAAAGAAAAACCCCATCTTTTTACGAATATCTCAAATATATATATATAAAAAATAAAAAAATAAACCACCATTAATACTGTCAAACACAGAAAATCCCCTAAAACCTTCATGTATGTTAGGCAAAAGAGAGGAAATGCAAGCTGAAGCATCTGAGTTCAACTATTGCAGAGAGGAATCTAGATCAGAGACAGAAGAAAATTGGAAAAATGAAAAAGTAGGTCGAGGTGGAAAATGGTTAGAGGAGTGAGAGATTGAAAAGGGGAAAGGCATTGATTGATAATAAGGTGGATGAGAGAGGATTACCTGAACGCAGAGGCTCGGACACTCCGAAAACGATAACTGAATCGAGGTCAGCTACACCTACCTACATACATATATAGAGAGAGAAAGAGAAAGAGAGAGAAACGAAGAAGAAGAAGAAGTAACCGACCCCTTTGCATAACAGTGATAAATGAGAATAAAAGCCCCCAAATCTCGCACGAGTTTGAGGTCCTTCTCATGTGAACTTATCGTTTCCTCCATAAGAAAGTGTTCAAAAATCAAAAAGAGAAAACAAAATAAAACAATATAGAGAGCGTCTTTAACTGTGTTTAGATGTTTTAATGGGATTAGTGTTTTGATTTTTTAATGGGATTAGTCTTTCTCGTATCGTAAAAAATTAGGGGTCTTTGTGATTTGGATCGAATCGATTTTGATGAAAAAATTATTTCATTTAATTCTTTCGATTTGATCATTCAATCATCATCTATTCAGTTGTATTTTTAAAAAAACTCGATTCGATCCGATCCAAATTTATTCGGTTTGAATTTGATTTGTTTTTGGTTTTTTCAAAAAGCCTAAGTGGTGTATTGGATTAAGATTTTAAAAAAAAATTAATTTTATAGATTTTAAAAAACTATTTAAAATTTGATGAATTTTAAAGATTTTTTTTACAATTTCATGAGATTGGATTTTAATAGAATTTATCAGATTTGAAAAAATAATATGGATTTATAAGATTTTAAAAAATCATATGAATTTTTAACAAATATTTAAAATTACAAGAGTCAATAAAAAAATAATAAAAAAATACAATAATATTAATAAAAAAAGTAAAACCTCACACAATTTTCTCAATCAGTAAAACCTAATATAATTTTCTTAACCACTAAAACATTCAAAATTACTAAGAAATAGTTATCGACATATCTAAAGGACCAAAGCTATATTAATCCCCCATGCATTAGTATTTTATCGTTCTTGCTATTGGGTTTGAGCAATTGGTTAAAAATTATCTTCTTCATTTGGTATCAAAGCTATGCATATACGATTATAAGACCCATTTTTTTTATTAAAAAAATCTAAATTTGCATATAGAATCTAGAGTTCATGATACAATTTTGTTTGGAATCTTTTGCAATTGATCTTGGAAATATTGAGATGTTTGTTCTACGTGATTAGAGTTTTTTAACCATATATCATATGCATGTTTTCATTAAGTATTTTAAGAAAATTTGAATCTGAATTTTTGGGTTTTATTACATGAAAGTTTAGAAAAATTCTCAAATTATTTTCAATCGATATATTGAAACCTTAAATTGCTTCGGGGCTTTCAAAAATAAGTTTTAGTTATCTATTGACACAAAAATTGTTTGAAACGTTCCATATAGCGAAGGAATTTCGTTCATAAATGTATTGTTACGAAATATAGGATTCGTATTATGAAATTTTAAATCTTTCTTTAAATTGATATTATTTCATTGATATAAAACGAAAATATATTTGAGAGTTTTATTTCCCCTACTGTTTTTTTCACTGTTTTTAATACAAAAATCATACATTTTTGTGCCAAGAAAAATCACGACCATAGCTTGAGAATTTATTTTTTAAACTTTCAAAAATATCTCAAAAATCTGCTATTTTTTAGATGGATTATATTAGAATCTTGTTGATTTGTTGTTTTGTGATAAAAATCGCTCAAAAAATTGTTGTTTTGAGCTTTGACGAAGCACCCATAGGGGAATCCTGTTTCGAGCGGATCAACCCGTCAAAGGAAGAAGAATACACTGCTTTGTAGAAATCTCAAGGAATCTTAGATATTAGGGTGAGATTATGATAGAGACATCTATTTATATTTCTCCCTAAAAAGTCTCACGAAATCCACATCAATAGAAAATTTATTAAAATATCATATTTTTGAATCTCACAAGATTGTTTTTCCTTTGTTTAAAATCATAATTGAATTTGTTTGGAGCTTCGCCCCTTAATGTTATCAAAAAAAAAAAAATCATAATTGAATACCAACGGATTTGGACGGACTCTCTTAAATAATCTTTTAAAATCCTAATCGAATATCATATGACTTTTTTTCAATTCTTTAAAATCTTAATTGAATAGCAATGGATTTTTTTGTTAAAAAATAATCTGTTAAAATCCTTTGAAATCTCAATCCTATACACCCCTAAAATTTCAACTATACAAATCACTAGTTGTATCAAAATAAAGTCATACAAAATTACAAATCACTGGAAAATTTAAAATTTAAGTCTTCAAACTAAAACAAATCTTAAAACTCGTGAAGAATTAAAATAAATTAATAGACAATAAAAAACTAAAACAAGATAATTTACTATCAATAACATCAAAGATTCCAAATCTATAAAACAATAAGATTTCAAGTCACCGTCTTTCAAAAATAATAAATACATAATACATTAGATTGATTTTTATCAACCAAACTGAAAATTAATTCAATTCAATTAAAATATTCAGTATTTTTTTTTAAATTTTTTGATTTTCTGTTAATTCGATTATCAGTTTTTCAATTTGGTTATTGCAATTTTTTGGTTCGGTGGATTGACGAACACCTTATAAGAGATAATTTTACCTCTTACACCCATGTAGAAGTACGTGGGACGAAGCTCGTGGGGATACCGGAGGGAGCCAACTTGTCTCAAAGAGATAATTAGAGTTGGGTAACTCCAAAAAAGAAGTACGTGGGCCCTTTTTTTTCTCTCTCCTCTTTACAAGATCCTACATCGACTCCACACATTTTTACGAGAATGTAAAAAATAAAAAAATATTTACAACATGAAAACATCAAAAAAAAATTAAAACAAATTATTTGTAAAGTTGTTGATAAAAAATATTTGTAGAATAAAAAAATCCCTTCCGCAACATTGTTTTGAAAATAATTTTAAAAGGTTAAACCTTAAAAAAAGTGTTTGGTTTTATAGTGTGAGAAGCAAAAACTTAAAAAATGGCGGTTAAACTTACAACCAATTAAATTTATCAACTTTACAAGATTCATTTTAGATCTAATCGCTGACTAATGACGATTCTTATAATTTTCATTTTTCACGCTTTGTCCAACCCCTCTTCTCTAGAACTGCATGTTGCCTCTCTCCATTCTTCAGAGATGTAAAGCCTACGGTCAAATTATCATTGAATTTGAAGAAAAAGTGTTTTGAGTTTGAATCAACAATTTTTTGGATAGATTCATCAGTGCAATTTTTTTTTCTTTTAGAAAATATGATTGAACTTTTAATTTTGAGGTTTTTAAAAATAATCTAGATCGTGAACGTGTTTGAAAATGGATTGGGAAAAGGTTCAATCCCATAGTATTTTTTGCTGGTGTTTTTGAATCGTCTCATAACAAGTTCTTGAATTTATATTTTAATTTACTGCATAACAGACGCATCAGGGACTACAAAAAAATTATATGATTGAATTCTAAAATTACTTCCACATGCATTTATTATTTACTTTGCGAAGGGATTACAAGAAAACTTCATGATTCATAGCCGGCTCAAAGAGTCGAAGTTTGTGGGGATACCGGAGGGCTATGAAGCACCGACACTTCAAAAATCCTGACGTGTCGTGTCTGACACTTTTCGATACTTTCGGACACTCCGACACTCCCCGACACTTCAACACGTGTTATAAAAATTCAAAAAAAGGTTCAAAGGTTGATTTGCGTTAAGTTTTTAGTTCCAACTATTAGATTCGTTGTATTACGATTATCATTTTATTGAGTTTAATATAAATATTTGAGATATGTTATGTTTCTTTGCAAAATTTATGAATATTATAAGTTTATATTCATTTTTTTAAATTATTGAATATTAAATATAATATACACTACCTAAACTAAAAATATTATTGAATATCAAAACGTGTCCTAACGTGTCGAAATATAACATTTTTTAGAATTAACGTGTCGAAGTGTCGTGTCGTATCGTGTCACGTGTCCCGTGTCGGTATCGATGCTACATAGCCGGAGGGAGCCAACTCGTCTCAAAGAGGTAATTAGGGTTGGGTAACTCCAAAAAAAAAAAAAAAAAAAAACTTCATGATTGAATCACCATTAATAATTTGTGTTTTCAATAGAGTTGAAATTTGAACAAAAAAAGAGACTAGTTCGAGGTAAATCCCACTTGTTTCAATGTTTACAATAGATCCCAGTTTGTAAACAAATTAATACCATGCCAAAAAAAAAATACATCTGATTCGGTAAAAAAAAAAACACGTGTGTATTTTATACATAGGGCTAAATAGTTCAAATCACACTCAAAGGTAGAGCATTTCTCATTTTTATAGGAACTTCTGTACCAAAAACAATGGTACCTCCAATGATAGCCCCTCTGGGGTGTAAAATATATCTTTTCTCACCATCCCCATAGTGTATGAGACAAATGTATGCATTTTGATTAGGGTCATATTCTATGGTTATGATTCTACCATATATGTCTTTTTCATTCCGTCGAAAATCAATTTTACGGTATAGACGCTTATGACCTCCCCCTCTATGTCCTGCGGTAATGATTCATCTGGCATTACGGCCTTTACCACAACTATGTTGTCCATAGATCAAATGATTTCGTGGATTGGATTTCACTTGACTGTCTACGGCTCCATTGCGTGTGCTCGGGTAGAAGTTTTGTATAAATGTATCGCCATGCTATTAAGTATTTTTATTTAAGTTCTTTTCTTTCTAAGAGGTGGAATAGAATAACCCGGTTGAAGCGTAATGATCATACGTCTGTAATACATTGTATGTCCCATAATAGGTCGCACCCTTCTACCCTTTACCGGGAGTTGATGACTATTCATAGCTATTACCTTGACACCAAAGAAGAGTTCGACCCAATGCTTTATTTCTGTCCTAGTTGATCCCGATTCGACATTAGAAGTATATTGATTTTTCACCAATAACCTAATACTTTTGTCTTTAAATACTGCATATTTTATTCCATTCATAAATCTATTTTCTTTCCTATAAGTTCTAGTCTCAATCAGAATACTCGTTTTTACTGTTCATATGTTATGATTTGAATATACCACACCAATTCGTTATGTATGGATGATGAGATTCCATTGATACAGAGCCAACCGTTCTTTTTTCTCTAAGAGATAGTCAGAACATCATCTGGATTTACCCGGTGAAATTTGAACAAAAAAAGAGACTAGTTCGAGGTAAATCCCACTTGTTTCAATGTTAAGAATATTATTGATCCCAGTTTGTAAACAAAATGATACCATGCCAAAAAAAGAAATACATCTGATTCGGTAAAAAAAAACACGTGTGTATTTTATACAGAGGGCTAGTCCATTTTGCAATAGCCTTAGAGGAGCAATTATATTTGCCACTAATGACTGAAGAACCTTACACAAAATATTCTCTGCTACCAAAAAAAACAATTACTAATAGCAGAAATTAATCTAAATACGCGTATAGATTGGCATCTTAAGGGAGCTTTATTAATTAAAAAAAATCAATTATTCAAATTTAATTTATTACCAAACATGATGTAAGGCCTACAAATAAAAATGCTTAAATTCTTATCAGCTAATAGCCCATGTAAGACACGTTTTTTTTTTTGTTTTTTTAAGGTGGGTGTGGGGAGGGGAGGAATCTTTTCCTCCTTGAGCATACCAGAATTTCTCAGTAGGAAAAAGAGAAGTGGCCTTATAAAATATTAAACCTTCCACATCATCATACCCAAGTCTTAGGCTTGGGCTAGTGTAAATTGAACTACAAGCTCCATGGAATTGGGAGAGTGGAAAGAGCACAGCACATGACAATCGTAATTAACATGATAAATTTCATTCAACAGTAAAGTAAGAGAAACAAGTTATAGATAAATAAAAACTAGTATTACAGTAGTCCTAGAGGAGTTCAGAAAACATCAAGCAGTTACTTGAAGAACAATGAAACCAAAATACCGAAATAAAACTAAAACCTCCTTCCACCAAAATAGCAAAAACGCCAAAATGCATATGTATGTCCTCTTTCCTTGTTTAAGCACTCTTGCTTTCAAGAAGCTTATCAATCATATCGGCTGCTTCTTGAACAGTGGTAATGCTCTGGGCGCTTTCTTCTTCCACGCTAATACCAAATTCCTCCTCAAGTCCCATCACAATCTCAACCTGCAGGAAATTTGAAAAGCCAGTCCAAATATTCAAGCAAAAGATTATCTATAAAAGATAAATGTTGTGTTCTCATTTTTCTCATATGCAGAATCATCCCAAAAATGCCACTTTGGGCAGCTCAAGTGGTATAGGGTGGGAGAGGTAAGTGCAAAAGGTTAGATTCCCATGTAGACTCAGAAACAATAAAATCAAAATGTTACTCTAACAAACATGATATAGACTCAAGAAATAGGGCAACCAAGGGAAGATAATAAAACTAAATTGCTCGAATAGTGGGCTTTTTTTTATCAAGGACACAACAATTGTAAAGTAAGACAATAATGTAGCCAACTTCTGTATATCATTAACATTGAACACAGCGCTATATGTATTATGTACATCCAGTTACAACAGCAGTATGGAGGGCAGCCTAACTCTCTGTTTCTTTTTTTCTTTTTTTGGCTAACAAGTACTTAAAAGATAACTAATAGCCAAGAAAAAGATGCCCTTTATAATTGTCTGGGGAAGCACAAAAAAATAAATAAATTCATGATCTGATCAAATATTATGACATAGCTCTCCACAGCCTCCACTCAACTGCTATGCCAACCCATCAATGTTTTCTGATTTTAAACAATATCTTATTCCTCCAACGCATTAACAAAATACAGATAGAGAGAAAAAGAATAACCATAGAAGGAATGATTTGCGGATTTCTAACAACTATGATGGTTTAAAACTGAGAAGATATCAGGTACAACCCAAAAAGTAATAAGCACATGGGCATGCACTTGGAATAGATACAATCAACTATCAAGTGTTGTGAATACTTGAGTCAGAATTTTATACCAAGACGATAATTCATAGGTAAAAATTATAAATATGACAATACCGTGTCGAGAGAATCAGCTCCAAGGGCAGCAAATTTGGACTCTCCAGTGACACTGGAACCCTCTGGTAGAGCCAATTGTTTCTTGACTATGTGACAAACCTTCTCTACCGTTTCCGGTTTGGCCTGATCAAAAAAGAAAAACCCACGCTGGTTATATCACATAAAATATTTAAAAAATTCAGGCCAAATTAACACTGCGAAAAATGAAGAATTACAAGTACATCCAGTTAGATAATTCCAACAGAAGGTACCCATAATCCGAAATTATGGATTGGGTTAGTGATAATTACAAGTACAGAAATTACGGATGAAAGATGAACTACCCACAATCCAAAATTTCTTCTTTGAGCATTGAACTGAATTGAGATGATGGAATGGAAGAAATGAAAATATGTGCCCCCTCCCCCATCTCTCTCCCTTCTTAACTTACAAACAACATTTACAATATAATTTTAACTACAATCAATGATAGTTCAAAGAAAGAAAAACTGATCCCATTGTTTAAGGAAAATAACTATGAGACGAGGATATATATATATATACATCAGTTTATGTTTGAAAGACTTACTGCACATGTAACTTGAAAACGAGGTACTCTGGGCTGCAATGTAATGGATGGAAAAGTTCTCCCCTTAATTGAAAGGGAAACTGAATTTGGGTTAGAGATCCTAGTACCAGGTACCTGTTTTTGCATCCAATGAGAATAACTGAATGAGTATAGGAAGTGAATATAAGTAGAAGTAACCAGGAACAATAACAGACAAGGTTAATTTCTTTTTGTTTGTCATAAGGCAAAGAGTCGACCATAAAATTACATGGATGTGCAAGTAAAGCTCGGAAACAATAAACCAATTCCATTTCTAAGGGCAGATTTTGTTTTGGGAAAACCAACAAGAAATTCTCACCTTATGTAGAGTTGTAGACTACATATATCTCCATATAATGCATGTATAAAACCATATAAGATCAAAATTTAACGATATATAAAAGGGGCGAATTGCTGAGTAGCTTAAAACTAATATCGAGGTCAGTTTCCTTTAAATCCAAGCCATTTATTCATTGATTCCAACTAAAAACGCAGACATACCAAAGTTAAATTAATCCAATCCCGTGCATGTACATGTTATGCGCGCATAAAAAAAGAAGAAGGATCCGAGAATGTTTCAACGGATCAAAACAGGAAGAGAGTTAAAGCATAAAATAGGAGGTTAGAAAGAGGAGAGATTTGAATTACCAGTGTTCGATTGAATGAGGTCATGGACAAGGAGGTTCCTGTGATGGAGGCCATTTGAGAGAGAGAGAGAGAGAGAGAGAGATCTGAAGTTGGAAGAAGATATCAAAGGACGGAAGCCACGAAGAGTGTGTGTGTGTGCGTTCTGCGTTCTGTGTTGTGTTGGAAATGAGTAATGACTATAAGGAGGGACAAGTGTGGTCTTTATAATAAAAGCAGCGTTTTTGTTTGTTGAGGATTGTTGGTTCCTTTCGTTACTTTCGAAGTTTTTGTTTCCCTTTGTCGTCGTTTTTTCTCCGTTTGGTTCCGCCCCTCAAGTCTTAACGCCCGTTACCCAACCAAACCTTGCTGCATGCATATCCCATCACAATTAACAACCATTTCTAATGAATTAAAATAGTCATTATGATTTTTATTCAATTTTTTAAATTACTTAAAAGTATTAATTATATGTTCTCAATTTATTTATTTTATATTTAAAATATGTTCAAAAATTCAGTAAGAATTAAAAAAAAAATCTTCTAAAAAATGAAAATAAACACGCATTAAATATTTCATATTTTAAAAATATTAAATATTTTCTAATAATTTTATTTTTTTCCTAACATGTATTTTAAGGCATATGTTAACAAAACATTTTCTTAAACTAATTTTTCTTTCATTCTCATATTTTACATTTCTATTTTATGATTTAATATAATATAAAATATTTAACTATTTGTCTGTCCATATATACTAAATTTTATTCCAATTTAGTACACTTAAATTTGTATGTTGTTTAAATTTATTAGGTAAATGATTTAAATAACTTTGATTTTATCAAATTCTAATTCTAATTTTTTGATTAAAATATAATCAAGTTTTTTTATTATATTCAATAAAATATTAAGATATAAATATAAAGATAACAAAAAAATAATATTTTCAATTTTTTAAATGATATAAAAAAATAAGATTGACAAATATTTGACTGTTTAAAATAATTGATGAATATTTAAAAATAGAAAAAATAATTTCTATAGCACATCTTATAAATTCCTCACTGCAGCTACTTAAGGCTATTTTTTTTTTTGATAAAGTCATGGGGTAAAAACCCCACAAACAGAAAACAGCAAAAAAACAGATAGCAGAAACTAAAACAAAAACAGCAGAAAGAAAAAACTACTAACGACAACAAAAGAAACAGAAACTATAAACAGAACAGAGTTAACGACTAGCAGCAAGCCTTGAGCTACCCGGGTCCAGCATATCAGCAGCAAGCAAATTGAGGAGTTCAAAATGAGGGGATGAAAAGGTGGTGACACCAAAAGGATCATCCAAAGCTTTCTTTGCTAACCAATCAGCACAGAAGTTGCAAGTCCTGGGAATATGCTTCAACAAGACAGACCAATCCTTATTGAGAGCAGCTCGAATCTTAGTTACCAGAGGTAACTTTCGAGAGTCATTACCAGAAGAGGTAAGAAGACCAATAGCTTGAGACGAATCTGATTCTAGGATAATATTCTTCCAACCAGAATTCCAAACAAAATTCAAACCGTGAAAAATAGCCCAAAGCTCGGCTTGTAAAGATGAGCAATTTCCAATGAAGGCAGTGAACCCACAGATCCAGTTTCCTTTCCAATCTCTCAACAAACCTCCGCAAGCAGCTTTCTCAAAGGACACCGCACCATCCACATTCAGTTTTAGGAAAGCTTGCGATGGAGCATTCCAAACAGTGGAGGGCTCAATGTAGGGGCTCATGTTCTCAAACTGTAATTTGAGCTTTCTACAGCATCCTGATTCCCTTACTAATTCTAAGAGATCAAGAGAGGGGTCCTCAGGTCTTTTAGCTGAACCATCATGGAGTTCTTTATTCCTCCAATACCATAAGAAATTACAGGCAATAAAGAACAAATCCCTCCAGTCTTGGACCCTAGTCTTCCTCACAATCAAATTAAGAGAAATCCACTCTTTGAAACAAACCATGGAGAAAAAGCCCAGAGGAAGAGGTTGAAATAAAGGTAAATACCAAACCTTTTTTGCTTTAACACAGTCTCTGAAAGCATGAAGATTAGTTTCTACATCTTCTGGGCACGAGGGGCAGCAGTTAGAGGATCCACTCCATTTACTGATAAAGTCTTTGGTTAGCATCCTGCCATGGTACATCCTCCACATAAACACTTTAACTCTCTCTTTACCTTTCCAGCTCCATATCCGGTCCCAACTATTGACACTTAGATCAGGATTCAAATTAGAAAGGTTGTTGTAAGCAGTTTTAACTAAGGATTGACCTGGAATCGTATTTCTCCAACACACAAAATCCTCTCCCGCTTCACCATCAGGGTGAGGGATAGCCATGATCTGATTTACTATACTGCTATCAAAGTGGTGCATGAGGAAAGGAACATTCCAACCCGCTTCTGAGGAAAACATACTATGATTTACTTTGCAGTTAACAGTATCAGCTGTTGGAGGATTGATGGCTAAGGAAAGAAGACTAGCTTTACAACCAACCCAATCATCCATCCAGAAATCTACCTGCTTGCCATTGCCAATCTGCCAGGAGAGATTTCTTGTCATATCTGGCCAAATTTTGCACAGACTTTTCCATAAATGAGAGTCATATGGTTTCGAGACAGCCTCTTTCAGCAAATCTTTTCTTCTACCATATTTGGCCCCAAGAACTTGAGCCCACAGCTGGTCCGGGGAATTAATTAACCGCCAGACACACTTATGGAGAAAAGCTTCATTCTGCCTTCTAAGATTGATAACTCCCAAACCACCTTGACTTTTTCCCATTTTAAGTTGCTCCCAACTAACAGCATGGAATTTCCTTTGATTCTCAGACTCCCCCCAAATGAAACTCCTCTGAATCTTCTCTATATCATCACAAATTCCTTTTGGGAGGAGGCTACTCTGCATATGGAAACTAGGAATAGCAGAGATGACCGATTTGGCAAGTGTCACTCTCCCTGCCATTAACAGGCAGCTTTTTTTCCAACCTTGCAGCCTGCCATCAACCCTGTCCATGATCTCTCCATAGTGCTGTTTACTTACACGACCATGTTTCATTTTGTACCCCAGATATCTACCAATATTCCTCGTATGAGCAAAGCCACTAATCTCAACAATGGCATTAGCAAGCTCAGGGGAGACATTTTTAGAGAAGAAGATATTTGATTTGGGGTAGCTTACCTTTTGGCCAGACATATCACTAAACTTTGAAAGGCAATTCATAACAGTATTAATCTGGGAGATATTAGCTTCACCAAAAAGAAGGAGGTCATCTGCGAAAAGCAGATGAGAGATACTCGGACCACCCTTCCCAGCTTTCATTGGCTTCCACACGTTGTCATTTATACAGTCAGCTATTAAGTGAGACAGTTTTTCCATACATAAGACAAAGATATAGGGTGAGATGGGGTCCCCTTGTCTTAGACCTCTGCTGGGAGATATTCTACCTGATTTGGTTCCATTCCAGAGAATATCCAGCTCAGTAGTTGAGATGCATAGCATAATAAGATTCACTAACTGATCCGGAAGATTGATCTCAATCAGCACCTTGTGAATAAAGCTCCAAGACATTCGATCATAGGCCTTTTCAAGATCAATTTTTATAGTGAAAAAGCCTCTTTTGCCTTTCTTCCTGTTCATAGAGTGAACCATCTCTTGAGCAATTGCAATGTTATCCTGGATGTGCCTGCCTGGAACAAAGCTCACCTGTTGAGGGGATATGAGCTTAGTCAGGACAGGTTTCAACTTCCCCACAATAATTTTGCTGATGCCCTTATAAAGCACAAAACAAAGCGCAATAGGCCGAAATTGGGAAATTTTCTCAGGATTTTTCAACTTCGGAGTAAGGACAAGGAAGGTTTTATTAAGATCTCTCACATCAGCTGGATTATTCCATATCTGGTTAACACACATAACAACCTGATTCTTCAGTAGCTCCCAATTATGCTGAAAGAAAAGAGCTGGAAAACAGTCAGGACCCGGAGCTTTTAGGCTACCCATGGAGAAAAACGCCTCTTTAATCAACATATCCGAGATGGGATCATTGAGCAGCTTCTTTTCAGCTTCAAGAAGAACAGGCCAATTAAAATTTGTATCAACCCAGGGTCTCTGAACATTCTCTTTTGCAAAAAGGTTATTGAAAAAACCAAGGATGAGCTTCTTCAAATTTTCTTCTTCTCTAACGAAATGACCTTCATCATTCTTCAATTCTAGGATTTTATTCCTAGCTCTTCTGATGATGGTGGTAGTATGGTAGAACTTAGTATTGCGATCTCCATCTTTAATCCAATTGCACCTAGCTTTTTGGAACCAAATAGCTTCTTCTTGGAGCAAAACCCTGTTCAATTCCTCTTGCAGAGCCTTATCAAGATCAGAATTAAAGTGGTCCAAGAGGTGGTTGGTATTCCTTTGAATTTCCTGGAGCTTTTTTAGGAGGAAATCTTTTCTAAGCTGAATACATCCAAAGACCCTTTTATTCCAAGACTTCAAAGGATTAACCAATTCCTGAAGACTCTAGTTAATTTGAAGATGAGACTTCCAAATGAAACGGAGAAAATGAGGGAAAGACGAATGCTCAAGCCAAGCCACCAAGAATCTAAAAGGCCTATCTTTATTGAAAACCTCTTTCGGAGCCAAGGATAGAAGCAAAGGGTTATGATCAGAATTGAGCCTGGGCAAAGCTCTTATTTCAGCATCCTCAAATGCAGTTCTCCAATCTGCATTCACACACACACTATCCAGTCTTTTAAAAACTCTATCAAGGTGAAGCCATTTAGGACCCCTCCAGGTAAACATAGACCCTCTACAGCCGAGATCCATAAGCTTACAATCACTGATTAAAGCAGAGAATTTCAGACATCTAGCAATATTGACTGGGGCTCCCCCTTTTTTTCCTTAATCGAAGCTATTTCATTGAAATCCCCCATCGTAACCCATGGACCATTCACATTGTTACTTATTCTCATAAGGTTAGGCCACAGCTCTTCCCGGATATCCTCTCTAGGATTGGCATAGACCACTGTCAAGAGGAAATTACTTCCTGCATTATTTGAAACAGCCATATGAATGAATTGGCTATTTTTTTCAATAAACTCGATCTCAACTAATTCATCTTTCCACAGAATCCAGATTCCACCTGAAAAACCCACAGCTTCCTCTAACTCGAATCTGTTGAAACCAAGTTGCTTGATCTTCTTCTGAGCAGTTGCCCCACTGATTCTAGGTTCTAAGATTGCTACCAAGTCAATCTTATGCTTTCTTGTGAAATTACTAAGGGATGTTCTGAAGGTTTTCTTTGCTGCACCCCTACAATTCCAAACAAGAAAATTCATTGGGTAACTAAATCAGAAATATCAGGGTTGCAGAGTCCCTGATCACTCTTTTGCATATGAACTGCTTCATCACTGGTTGGAATCTTCACTTCCATCTCCATCTCATCCTCACAATCTTTATCAGGAGGTTCCTCAGGTTTCAACATTAACTCACTAATGGAATTGGAAATATCCATATCCGAAGGCTTACAGTCCTCCACATTCAACTTACAACTAGTAACTTCCTCAGTCTTGTCATTAAGATTAGAAGCAGAACTCTGAACACATTGCGCTGTTTCTGTTCCAATGGAATTAGGCACCGTCTCAAAGTCCCCAACAGACACAGATTGGGCCTGCTTTAGGGGTTTCTGATTTAAAGAATTACTGGATGAAGGGAGCTCTAGAGCTTTAGGGCTGTTTCCACCTGACTTTGCCTCAGATGTGAAAATAAAAGATTCTGGGATTTCAGGAATCTTTGGTTTGTAAGTTGCCTTGCCAGCAACTCTTTTCTGAGCAGATGAGGATTTTCTGTTAACCCGCTTGGGATTTTCTTTGGAATGACTAATCCCTTGATTCTCCTTGCTCACAATAATCTTGGAACTCTCAGCCACCTTAATATTTGACTTCATCACCCCTGGAGAATCGGACGCACTCCCTGTCTCTCTTTTCTTTTGACTAACACCTTTTTTATTTGAGATATCCTCTCCAAAGACTCTATCTGTTTTGCCTTCTACTTTCTTGCTCTGTTGACTCTTTGGAATTTTTTTTTCTGAACCACCATCCACGGTCCCACGCCATAGTTAGCAGTATTTACCTCTTTTTCTGTCATCGGTTCTTTAGTCTTGTTGGACTCATCAATTTCCACAGCATCCGGGCATGTTTCAGAGTTATGACCGTACTTTCCACATTGAAGACAGATCAGATAGAGGCCCTCATATTCCACCTTAAACACCTCTTCCTCCAGGATAAATTCTCCTCTCAACGGACTAGATAGGTCCAATTCAACACATAATCTCGCAAATTTCCCTCTATCCCCCAAAGATGTAGTTTTGTCAATCTTTAGGACTTTACCAATAGAGTTTCCAATAAGCTTCAAAACAGGAATTACACATAATTCCAGAGGAATACCTGGAAGCCGAATCCAAGCTGCCACCCGATGAATATTTGCTTTGTGGGGATTGAAGAAAGGCTCCCATTTTCTGATTGCCAAATAATGCCCCATTAGGACCCATGGACCTTCGTTCAAAGCCAGGTTCAGATCCTCTAAACTTGAGAATTTTACAGAAAAAAAATCGTTGCCCAGGTCCGCTACTGTAATGGAACCAGATTTCGCCCATAGATTTCCCAGCTTCGTCTTCATGTACATGACTCCAACCCTTTTCCCCAGAAGCTTCACAATAATCGCATTTCTCCAGGGAGCTCTGAGTCTCTGTTTTGCTTCCTTTGTACAGCGAAAGCGAACCGATCCATCCTCCCCATAAATGGTTTGGAAGCCCAGTTCATTTATAACACCAAGCTTAGGGTCCAGGGGCTCACCTTCTTCCTCTTCATGCTCTTCATGCCATGAGTCTTCCTCCCCCAGTACGCTTCCTTCCTGACGAAGAGCTTCTGCAAAAGATTTGGGTTTACCCGATGGGAATCGGTCCAGCAAATTGCCCAAGCTAGCTCCTCTATTCGAGGAATCAGGGGAAAACTCCTCCCCGTTCTTTGCTCTCTTTACACTCTTCCTCATACAGTCCATCGGAGTATCAGTGAGATTTGATCCACCGTGTTTGTCATTCGTTCCGTTCATTTTTGCGTTGCCCTAACAGAGAAATAATTTCGCGCGCGTGTTGAGCACGCACTCTAACCCATCTCGTACAAGGTGGATAGGATTCTTGCTACTTAAGGCTTTTCATGAGACTGTCATGCAAACTTATTAATGCAAAGTTATAAATTTTTGTAAGAGAAACCAAGATATGGAGACTCACTCAACAACAAGGTAAATTAGTTTTTGGAAAAAACTATTTTCATGTTGTACGAGATAATTTTTCTTCTTATATATTCTTTGGTAATTGTGTCATCTTTTTTTTTTCTTCTTTTTTTTTTATATAATGGAGTCCACAAATTTATCTCTATAATATGAGATAACTTATCTCTTTTATCATGAAATTAATAAAATCCTTAGTTTTTACATGTTTTTTATAGCTTCTATTTGTGTGCAATGTAAAAGGACTTAGGAATCAGTCAAGGGATTAGTGGTTCACTTTTTCTTTTTTCTTTTTTTATCATCTAATTCAGAATTGGCTAATTTCAAGAGGGTGATCGCCCCCTCTAATCTCTTTCTACCACTGTTTGTCAGCAACTATTAATTCAACCATTCAAACAAATTTAGAGAAGATGAAATTTTATTGAGATAAATTTACCTATAATATACATCCGTACGTATTCACAAAAGATAAAATTATGCAACCCATTATTCAGAGGTGTATACATGATGATGGGTGCATATATACACAGTTTTCTTCCATTTTTTACTCTTTTAATTCTTTTTAAATTTATTTATCTATTTCTTTGATATATTGTTCTCAAATTCTGTTTTTTCCTTCTCAAATCTGTTTAATTTGAAATTCTAAACTTTTAGAAAGAAAAAATATTATTCATGAAAGAAAACTCAAAATTAAAAAGTATTAAATAATTGTAAAACATAAATTAAGTAAATATTATATATCATCAAACTAACTTTTATTATTTTTCCTATTTTTTAATGGAAGAAGTGTTTGTCATTTTAAATGATATAAAGTTATGTCATTTTAAGAGAGAGACAGACACAAAATAATTTTTTATATTTAAATTTTAAATTAAAAAAATCACTCACTTTCTTTCTCCCATATTTTTTTTTTGTCTATCTCTCTCCTAAAATGACATAACTTATGTCATTTAAAATGATAAACACCAAACATTTTTTTAATTCATACAAAAAATCAAAATAATTATAAAGAATATTAAATATATAGTTTGTTAATTTCCAATAAATCAAAAACGAATGCACATAATTTGTCGTGTAAATAAATTTACTTAACTATAGTCGGTAACCCAACTCAATTTGTTTCTCTCTAACCGAGGACATTTATTAGAATATAATACATTGATAATCGGTGGTGTCACCGTCCATTGCCAGCAATATTTTCTCATACAACAGCTTTTCGTCATAAATAGTTTTAGTTACAATCAACAGACATAATTAACAATTTAGGTAGACATCGCAGAAAAGGACGTAAAACTGCAAATGTCAAACATTCTTACGGAGGATATGTAGATGAATAAAAAAGTCTTCGTGTAGATTAATCTAGAAGAATTTATGCTGATGAAAACAAATATATTTGCACTACGGCAACACGGGATAGGGAAACAAAGCAAGGAGCGTGACAAATTGAATTGAATTTATTTATTTTCTGTTCGGGATTTTCTCTCACACCTGGATTGTAAGATTGCTGAATGCTGAGTATCAAAAATTTTAAGAAAAAAGCTCATCATCGACTTTACATTTAACAAGAGACTAATTTGCTTTACTTTACATTTAACTAGGTACTAATTTGAGCGACTTTATATCTAACAAGAGACTGATGCTCACATGTAATGACTACAGATAATTAACAATAAATTTGTAAGTATTATGGGAAGGATTAAAAATATTACACTTATTATTAATTGTTGATGTCATTTACATATAATTATTCTAATTTTTTAGTTAGACAAAGTATTAAATACTAATGAAATTAACAATTAAGAATAATTATTAAATTTATGATTCTTATATCAGTGTAAATTCTCACCTATTGATATAATAATATAAAGTATTAAAATTAAATGCATAAAAATATATACATAAGGACAGAAATGTAGTGCCGGTTTCTATTATATACAAACAAACGCTATTGGGCAAACATTTGCGGAAACATGCGACAGTGATGTGCGGTTCATGATGCATCAACAATGCTAATACAATGGCTCTTTGGTCTATTATGAGGCATTTGGGCCGTCACCCAAGAGCGTGGAATTTGGACTGAGCAGTGGTGGAATGTTTCTTTTGGGCTGAGTTCAAAGATATTATTATTTGTGGCCACTTATATGGTTCTCATTAATTAAATGATTTTATTATACATCATTTTTATATTTTGATTGAAAAAAACATAGATTATGTATTAATATGTATGTTTTTCTTGTTTATTACCTTTAGAAAATGAAGTAAAACTTATTCAATAAAAAGTAGTAGAATATAAAATAATATTATTGTAATTTAAAGAAAAAACATTTCCATCAATCAGTTTAAAGCACCATTGCCAACACCAAAATCGCTATCACTGTTTCTACGGGTGACTCTGGCTAGTGGCTACTTTTTTTTTGGCGCAGTTCTCCGGTTTTCATAAGTTTGGAGTTAGGCATTTAGTGGAAGAGAGAAAAAAATAAAAGAAATATTGTTATCAAATCCATTTGAAATATAAGAGAAAGTGAAATATGAAAAAAAATGAAATAAAGTGTGGAGAGAAAAAACAAAGGAAAATCAAAAAATGAACTCTTGAAAAAGTACAAAAATATTACTATATCCTGAATTCAAAAGAATATCCCTTTTTTATTTTAAATGTGTCTTTATATATGACACTAAACATAAATAAGGCAATAATTGCAATTCAATACATCATTAGTGTGGTGATTGTATGCTCACATACCTCGACACGCTACTTTTTGAAAAAAATGCGTGTCGGATACGTGTCCGACACGGACACGCCGACACGTTCTGACACGCGTTCGACACGCGGTTAATATTTTGGGACACGCGGTCAACTCTTTGATACGTTTTTTCGACACACTGTCAACTCTTTCTGACACAGTCAACATTTTGACACGCATTCCATACGTTCCGACACGTTTTTTTTTTTTTTACTCTTAATTTTATTTTACTAGCTAAACATAAAAAAATAATTTATAAGTCAATTTTTTCTGTTATGAAATTTGACATTAAAAATTAACAAGATACGAAAAATTATTTTTATTTATATGAAATTTGAATATTTGATTGGTTATATGACTTGTTATGGACTGTTATATGTATTGAATATAAATTATATTATATATATTAAAAATATTATTTAATATCAAAACGTGTCACAATATGTCAAAATATGACATTTTTTAGAATTAACGTATCAGCGTGTCGTGTCGTGTCTCGTGTCATTGTCAGTGTCCGTGCATCATAGGTTGTATGATACATAAAAAATAACAAGAAAGCAAAAAGTCATATATGTTATAAAATATGTGAAAAGTTATTCATAATATTTGACTACAAAGATTGATTTTTCTATTTTCAGTAAATACATATTTTTTAATTCATGAATTTGTAAAAATAAATAAATCATCTCGTACCTTTTTTAGTAATTTTTGTTGAGTGACTTGTAAAAAACAAGGTATTACCTAATAATTTTTCTAATATTTTTGGCTAACTGGCTATCAGTCACCGCCAACAAATTTTGAGTCATAAAAACTATTTTTTTTTATGAAAATGAAATTTAAGTGTGAACGATAAATCCCACATGAATTATAAAAAAATCAAGTGAAGATTATATAAGTGAAAAAATCATAATTTTATTATTTTTATATTTTAAATTGAGATATAACGTCAAGTTATGGTGTGTTGCTTAAATCACTGATGAAAACCCTTACATTCCTTAATCAGAGTCAAATTAAAAGCTTCATGTTGACAATACTATAGCATCAATTAACTCATCCATTTACTTTATCTTAAGAAAAGTTCAGTGTTGGCGACGGGAAACGACATTGAGGATTTGTGAAAGTGCAATTAAGGTTTGTAATAAGGTTGATGATGCAACGTTTTATTTTCTAAAAACATTGACAATACCCTTCTTGGTCCCTGAGAAAGAATACAGTTTTCATTTTAGTCCCTTACAAAGATAAATTAGTCTCGAGGTCCCTAACAAATTTAAAGTGGACCAATTTAGTTGAAACCGTGGTCATTCTCAAATTCAAAAAAGATACATATTAGTCCTTCAAAAGGACTAAAATTGGTCCACTTTAAATTTCATAAGTACCAATCGACTAATTTTTTTTTTGTAAGAAACTAAAGTGAGGATCGTGTTTTTTGTTAAGGACCCAAAAATGTATTTACTCTATCTTTATTTATAGATGCAGACCGATTAATTGATTATTAATTGGTAACTAAACAATACACATTATTAATCAGGAACTTGTATATCATAAACGGATGTAAAATAATGAAAATATAATGGCGTGCAAAACGTTTTTTATCTTTATTTTATGCCATTCCATATGTCAAATTGTCAATGATCCAAATAGTTTATAGGAATCCTTTTCCTTTTAAATTTGTTATTAGTGTAAAAAGGAAAAAAATTTCTAACAAAACCTTCTCTGATACAAGAAGGGATCAAAATGTACAACAGGACAATTGTATTCATTAATTGATTTGTTGCATGAAAAAATTCGGTCGGCATAAATTAGAAACGAAAATTAGGTTACCAAGAACTATAGAAGGTTGGTTGGCAAATGGGCATTATTTGGTGTACCTATTATTTATCTGCCTTCTCTCTCTCTCTCTTTAATACAACAGTGGTCCTTAAAACAACTGGCATTTTAAATGGAGATTTAAATAAATTGTTGTCTACTTATTGTATAGCCTTTTCTATTTATTTTTTTAAAATCTTGAGATGTTTCCACATATTCAGCTCATTTTAAATTGTTAATGAGATTGTCTACCAAAATTTTTTTGTTAATGAGATT